CGATATTTGCAGAATAAAATAATCCATAAATATTTTATGTATAAAAAACGTTGTTAGAAGGCGCAAGCTCCGCCCCGTGACTAAAGCCCGTGAGTAAAGTACTTTAGTCACTGCCTTGACTGTCCGTGGTTAAAATACCACTTTTTGTGTTCCAAAACGTAGAAAAACTGACGTTTTAAAAGTGGAAGTAGAAAAAAATACATTTTACAATCGTAAATAAAAATAAAAACTCGGAAATTGTAAAAAAAAATATTTAAAAATCGCAATAAACACAATATATCATGTTATCATCGAGTTAGCATGTCCATCCTATCGGTAAATTCGAATGAACAGATGAGTGCAATTTGAATTTAAATAATAAATGCATCTGCATTTATTACAAATTCATAAACATTCATTTAACTGTAAAATCATGCAACATGCCTCCACGAGAATAGCGAAATTAATGCGTTTATTCATTCATACGTTCATTCATTTTCAAATTTCATTTTCATATAAAATAGGTACCTACAAAAAACCGGCAAATAACACACATTAATAAAATTCGTGTTAATTAAATTCCACATGTAAAACACTATTTAAAAACTACATTTTTAATGAATCCATAACATACATAATTTCGCACATCCTTTGAAAAACTTTCTAACCGACTAACCTAACAACTTTTCACTTTCTACAATGTCTATAAGTTGTTAATTATGTATTTTTAAGAATTTGAATAATTGAATTGTAAAGTGTACATTATCCATTGCAAGAAAGTTGAAAACTCCCACACAAGAATGAACATTTAATGTATTAATTAAAATTTATATGGATTAATCAATAGAATACACTAAGGTAAGGATTAATTCTCATCAAATGTATGAGTATGCACCTTGCAAAAATTCGCATAAGAATAGTAATTTTTGAAAACAGGTTTCTTATTTCTTATGACTTGCATGTCAAACTCAATTACAATCTACATAAATCAGTAAATCTGTGGTGAAAGAAATTATGCAAATCTAAACTGTAACGACCGATAAGGAACTTAAGTGTAATAACTACTTAACAAATGTATATTATACACACTCATTAATAAATTACGTAAGAATTATTGTTTCCAGCATAAAAAAATGTTTAACCACTAATCAGATTTAATTTACTATTGAAAATCGTAGTAAACTTAATTGGATTTAAACATTTCATCAGTTCGTACATGGTTAAGTAAGTATCGCAGCAGTCGTTGCCATCATGGGGCGCCGGATATGTCGCCACTTGTAGGGTGCATCGATTTCTCATTAATATTCCATAAAAAACGTGGTGTGCAAGGGCGTGGGTGGCGGTTCCACGTAAACGCAGGAAACACGAGAAGGGTGTTACACAGGACACAACTCAATGAAAGCAAAAAATAATAATAATAAAAATTGCAGTACAAACATGGTGAGTAATCCTCGCAAAAAATACCAACTGCAAAAAAACTAATCAAATGAAATTGCAAAGCCCTTTGGGCTTTTGTATTTCGAGTTCTTTCAACCTAAACCAACATTATAATTTACAACTAGGTAAAAAACTGTTTTTCATCAGTGCTGCTCGTAAATATTTAATGGCAATCTGGACTTTTCCCAAGATTGGATCGAAACAATCACACAATGTGAAAATCCACATTATTTTTGATTTAAAATAAAAAATAGAAAAATATTCATGAAGATGCGCATTTTTTCCGAAACTCTTTGGTTTGAAGTATAAAGAATCGTATAAACAAAGTCGACCTTCATGGTCTGTTGATTTCTCAGACTCATTTCCGTTTTTTAAAGACTACACAGCAATTGTAACGTTTTTTAATCTCCTTCGCAATTGTTAAGATCTACCTTATTGTAGATTCCGCTTGTGAAATTGAACAAATACGAGCTGTAAATCAGCCAGCCAGTTATAACGCTAGCAAGAATTATCGTTCGACTGTTCTACAAACAAGTAGTTCAGCTACTTAGTACTGGTTTATGCTGCTGTGATGAAATATTACATTCGTTAAACTACCGCGGGCATCGTGACAACATCATAACTTGATCTTTGTTGACTGCGAGGATTAAATGTCATCACAAACCATAATATAATACTAAGAGGTCGCAAAAAGAAGAGAAATTAACACGGCTTACCGTGACTTTCGCAGGAATTTGTTTTTGACCATGCGTAATTTGTTCTCTTTGATATCCTTCGTCGTAATCCCATCTTTGTTGTCCTTCGCCTCGAAGGATTGCACGAAACACAACATCACAGAGTCACTGGTCGTCGTGGTCATGCATGTGTTTTTGACGTTGACGGGTCAGTTATTTCAAAAAAATGCCAAATTCTACTCTACTGCGACGTATATTGGCGAATATGTGCACGAAAGCAAAACGTTCGCGTTCCAATTTCTATTTTATGCCATAAACGGTTTACAAAACCACCGTCAGCTAGAGTTTGATCAAGAAGTGTTGCCACGATTACGCGGAGAGAAGGTGAACAACGCAACACAATGAAAAAACCGCGTGTACCAGAACCGAGGAGAAACAAAAATTGCAAAACGGTTTACGGCGGGCCGGTGCTGGTTACGGCATTGTTGCTGATCGAGTTCGTAGCCGACACGGAGGAGGAGATCGGTCGATGGTCGGCCGCACGCGTTGCGGACTCTACTAGCACGTGAAGCGCAACCAACGCCCGACGGAGAACAACTGCGGCATGGCTGGTACGGAGTTCCGAATGTGTGCGGTGTGCGCGGCGCACACCAAAGAAGCAGCGACGGCGCAACTTCCATGCCTACCAGTCCGTCCGTCCGCACAGTCAGCTGCTTGCGAGCTACGCCTGATATGAATTCAAAGCAAGTAGTCACCATTCACAACAGAGTTGGACATTCACCTAGAGTGTGATAGTGACTGCGACGAAGCGAAGACGACTTGAGACAAGTCGACTGACTTTACTTCACGACAAACGGATACAAACAAAAAATAAAAATAAAAACGTGCGGTGAGTGCTAAGAAGAGACAATTCAGGCAACCAAACTTACACACAACAAGAATACTAGGAGCCACAACCGCCGCAAAATGACGCGCCTGCGCAATGGCACTTGGTCCTTTTTTCAACATCTCAAAACTTGATAAGTGTGAAAGCGGAGAAGAAAATCGAGCTTAGCCTGCATAGAAATCAATTAGTTTTTAAAAAAAGTTGAGTAATTCGTTTCCTGGTATTAGCAGCAACGGTTATCCCCCAAATTGACTTTACTTGTATAGAATTTCAATGCAGACCACGGCGTTCGCTGGGTCTCTAACCCCTTTCGGCGCGCATCGACGTGAAACGTTTTCGCACTAAATTCCCTTCTCGTGTAGACGTCTCGCGCGCATCATCAGTTATTCGAGAACGTTCCTCGGCGGCTTCCATTTTCATGGCGTTCGGTTTCGCTCGTTTAGCTAATGCGGCAAAAGTTGCTAAAGTGACAAATGGATTCTGTGGCCCGGGCGTTTTTGATCCACGCACAATATATTAGACGCGTTTGATCAACAAGAGACGCATTTACTTTCCGCACGCAATGAAGCAGCGCAAATTGTTGCAAAGGGCAAGAAACCAGCAAGCAGCGGCTTCAACTTGCTGATGAGATGATGAGATGTCATTCCGGTTTTTTTTCGTTATGATGGCAATTTATATAAGATATTAGGCAGTTAGAGATAAAAAAAATATTTTTTAGATAAATATTTATCTACTGAGTTTAATGTAAATAAAATCCCATTGTCCAGTGGCAATAACCTTAAACTTTAAATAATAATATTCTCTATCTGTTGAATTAAAATAAACAAATTTAATTATTTTTTTCTAATGAACTTGATAAACTTGAACTTTTTAATGGATTATAACGCGATATAAAGCATAAAATATGTAGCTAACAACATACTAAAGCAATTATACTTATTGTACATCGTTGGCGCAGTTTTCATGAATGAAAACATGAAAATTGCGTGCGACAAATCACATTGGACTTTGTTCCGACATTGTACTGGCCTAAGGTTGATCGTTGGTATTAATGTCAAAAGGGCTTTGACCACAATACTGTTTTGTTATGATCCAATATAAAAATGTAAACAATGGTTACATTTTTTCATTATTTGCTCACGTCCCTACTAATATTATAAATGCGAAAGTCCTGATGTTTGTTGCACTTTCACGCATAAACTACTTAACCGATCATCATGAAAATTTGTACACATACTCTTAGTGGTCCCGGAATGGTTATAGGCTACTTTTTATTTAAGAAAAAAATTATTTTTTAAATATAATAAAGAAATTGTTTAGCCAATAATACCTCTGCACCTGGCTAATTGACTACTTTAACGCCATCTAGCATTCCAGCAATGAAGCTCAAACCTAAGTACTATAGTACCATCACATTGTATTATCACACTGTATTACCGACAGCTACGTCAACATCAAATCCTTTTGACTACACTATGGAGACTGTACACTATACTTCCATAGACTATACTTTCAGCCATTTTAAACTTCCCGCCATTCTACTTCATTGTTACTTCTTCTGTGACTACAGACGCGTACGGAAGCAACTTCATTATTTTAGATATTCGCGAGCGAAGCCGAGGGTTAAAGCAAGTATGCTATAATTTCATGGTAATATTGAACCAAACAAAGTATATTATAGTTTATTACTAACATGAAACAAAAGAGAATTCAGTAGATGGCAAACTGCACCGCAATGCACTAAAAATTGTCGCGAAAAGCTCTAAAATACGAAAATTACGATCTAAAGCGCAGATATCAAAAGCTTTTACGTTTAATTAACGCGAAGCCAAACAAGCCCGCCTTCCGCTTTCATATTAGAGTTATCGTTATCAATTTATTGTTTGCTTCAACTGTTTCCTTTATTCCACCTACCGTCATATACATATACCAACTGGTTGAGTATTATACAACTACCAGTTATACAATAATATTAAAGTATAATGTGTTGCATACTTAAATTTTTTCTTCGGTAAATTAAATAATTTTAGAATAATTTTTATAAATTTTATAGATTTATGACTGTTATAAAGACACACTGTATATTTAAGTATAATATGTGTAGGTGTATGATGAAAAGGACCATGATCATGATCGTTAAACAGTGCAGTCAAAACAAAATGGCTTCGCGACTGTACGAACCCAAACAACAAATCTATTCAGCATTTCTACCGTTTATTAGATAATAGCCGCGGTGCTGTCGGTTGGAGTAATTGGCTTCATTCAAAAAACGCTTTCAATTAAAATTTACGATTCATTGGTGCACTAAACAATAATTACGCTAAGTGATATCAAGCATATAATGTTAAAAACAACATAAAATGGTTTTATTTTTTCATCAATTGCACCAAATTGGATTCTCTTTAGAGGATTTGTGTTTATCTGCGCGTTATCTGCTCGTTCCAGACTTCCATTTATTACAGCTGCTACTGTTTCATCTCTGCGCTCATTTCGGGCAGCGTTTAATCGACATCGTCGAATGATATGATGTCGAGACGGGTACTCAATCGAGCGCGTTCATCGCTTTACGATGTCCCAGCGCATCAACGGTCGACGACACGAAATCGCTGATTCGTTCATATTAATTATTTGGTCCAGCTGCAGCGATCAACGTAATTAAAACCGGCGCATTTTGAGATGGCTAATTTTCGCAACTTGCAGCAAACAACGTGAATGATCAAAGGTTGAAAGCAAAAGTGACAGCGACGAAACAGTATAAATACGTGTTTGAGGGCAAACTTGAACAAGGCTTAACTAGTTGTTGTATATATCGGTCTTCCCTGGCTCTCCCTGACCCAAATACGTTTCGTGGGCGGGTACGCTCATGTCGCTAAATTTACGCTTGCAACGCTTGCAACTACTCCATTCAAACGAATTCATGTTTGCGAACGCGGAACACACCGCATATTTCTAGTTGGCGAAAGGCACACGCGTGTAATTAGCTTTGGATCAACTTCAAATGCCCACCAAAATCGGAAATAATTTGTGTTTTGTGAAAGTGGGTTACGCGAATTCAACTCCCACCCTATGTTTAGTCATTTTGTGTAAGTAAGTTGTAGTATCTCGTAGCAATGTTGATTTAGTGATTTGGAATCTTTATCGGAAGTGATCAGCAAATATTATTAAAGTGCATTTACATGCAATCTCTAAATTTGATTGCATTTTCGTATTAATGTTGGGAGAATTAGCAAATTGTAACTGTTAAAAGTTATTTACGATTGAAATTAAACGAAGGGGATTCAAATAACTGCCCTAAATTGATTTTCCACTCTGATCCACATCCAGCAGAATTGCAGGCGTACTGCTTCAACAAAACATGGGCTTGAGTGCTGCGATTGACATACTAATCTAATTCTTTTAATTGAACTAATTCCTACTGAAAATCCACATAATAATCCAAAATAATTCAAAATATTTACGTTAAATTAAACGCTATTATCTTCTCTACGCAAATGCAGGTTTTATGTAAGCCACAAATTAAATTTCAATTGCATTTGGTTTTTATTCTCCTAGAGTTTGGTATAAAATAGCATTTAAAGTCAAATGAAAAAGGCATGCTCTGAAAATTGTGCCAATTCCTGGCACAAGAGTGTTGCCATGCTCACAGCCACTGAACCAACCCCCACTGTAGAAATGTGCGAAATTCTGCTGGTGGTTGTGGTCCGCTGCTCTCGCCGAACGAGATCGATAACCGCGTCTGGTACAGGCTGTAGGCGAGAAAGACTCAACCAGATAAAACAACCATGCTGATTAAACACCGAGTGTTATCATATTACACGTAGTCCAGCATTATCCAACCATCAATAATTACAAGAGAATTTGATAGGTATTTAACCAAAATTAAACAAAAAAAACATAAAAACTGAAAAAGTACGAAATTTAGTCTACCATTGAGTTACAATATGTTTAGAGGTAATAAAACCGATGGAATATACGTGTAATATATTCTAGCTGGCTTTCCACGTCGTCTATCAAGCTTATTATAAATTTTTTCCTGCAATCTCATCGTAAAGTTGCATTGCATGACAATACAATTTTATTGCGTTGAATTTCAAAGCTGACTCCTGCAAAATTCCCACCAGTGTTGAATTCAATGTCAGTAGATCAATATTACATTTCCCATGGTTCATAATGAATGGATGCAAGCCAGCCGCCCCTGTTCCATAATTAATGCCGACTTTCTGCTTTATTCGCCATGTCAGTGTTTTGTGTCGTCGCAGGAGACGCGCAGTCATGCCCGCCGGAGTTATCCTTTTGATATCCCAATAAAATTAATAGCGTCCGGGTTCAAGGAACTGTGCGCCGGCGAGCTTTCCAGTTTCATGTCTGGAATTGCAGCCTTTCTTAGATAACTTGATATTTTTTGTGACAATGTCCTCTAGAACTTTATCTCTAGGGTTGTGTTGCCTAATAGGCTGGAAAACTCAACATGAACATCAAGAGATAGATGAAAAACTTACAGCGAAAAACAATATAACCATAAATGAAAGTTGGTAGAGAAGATGAAAATCGAAAGCAAACAGTTTCTGAGTTAGATTTTCGTAGTTGTTTGATGAAAATAATGTATTAAAATAATACAAATGTCAACAACACAGTTTTATTCAATATTTTAGGTTAAATATTAAATTTTAGGGTAGAATGCAAAACCGGCTAGCTTTTTAACAATAATTTGTTGTAAACCAAATGTATATTTACCTAAACAACTATTTTATGCAATAAATCTATTATAAAACGTTTAACTTCAGAATAATTGATTAATAACTGCGAGTTGAAAACTTAAATTGTATTTGTGACATAGGCAACCAACACTGCATCACAATTTCCTACATTCCCACAGATTTCTTCCATTCAAAATTTATCCGTTCGTTTATTTTATTATAAATTCCGTAATGTAACCTTGCGTTTGCCCGCGGCTGTGTTATGTGTTCATTTCGACTTTTGGTTTGTCTACATAACCGCTCAAAATTCAACAAACACCAGCTGTTTGCCGCATACTCACCAGAACGTCCACGATGAGCGCCTTTTGATTTTCTTCTTCGTGTATACAAGCACCCGCAGCACCGGCATACTGAATCTCCGCTTATCCTTGCCTTTATCCACCAACTTAACTTTCTGTTTGTTTTTCTTCTCCCGCTCGAGTTTGCGCTTCTTTTCGTGGTTCTTATCAAGCTCCTCTGAATCTTCATCGAGATTATCATCTTTTAAATCCATTATTTTGCACTAACTTAATTAAAATCAACGAATTCAACGATCAACATTTCACTACAAACGTCTGGCACGAATCTCAAAAGTTGTCCACGTTTAGTTTTCATAACGACTGGGTGATCATGTTCCGAGTGTTGAGCGTTCGCGCTCAAATGGCGTTTATAAAATAAAAGCGTTAGTTATACCACAGCCGGTCGTCCTTCGCACGATTTTGGGAGATTTCGTCGCGATGTGTGCGTGTTGCTCGTTTCGATACTTTCGCGATGCCGAAAAAAAAGCACGTTGACTAATACTCAGCTGTGACCCAGCGTAGGTGATATAAATCAAGTGGTTTTTAAACTTTTTATCGCCCACACACGAAAAAATTCACTTTTCTTGAATAGATATTTTAATCAGTGTCAAAAATTTCGAGCGGTACGCGCGCGAAACCGTTAAAACGCAAATTTATTGTTCCAAAGTAATTAGCGCGAACATATAACACAAAGTCGCATTTTACGAACGTATGAAAATAGACTTCTACCGGCGAGTGTGCTTCACACGGCAAGAAATGAACAAGTCATGCGAAAAATTTCACTACACTTCATTTATACACCACAGCAGAAACGGAATTAAATTTTTATACTTTTTTTTTACTTAAGTTAATAGTGCCATTTGCGTTAAATCACCACAGAACTACTAAAGTCACTAATGATAAAATTACAAAACTGGATTTGCATACAACTACAACGAATAGTTTAGCTTTATTTGAACGAATTTCTTATTTGCATCTTGATGGTTTTAGCGTTGTTTTAATACTGTCCGCTAATGTTGAATTAAGCAAAATATCACGATACGCGCAACATGTTGCGTCAAACATTCTGGAGCATGAAAAAAGCTTTGTGACGACAGACAGCCAGCAGAAGCAGTGGAATTGTCGCTGGTGATGCGTACACACATGGGATTGTGATCATTTTTGTTTATTTTCGCGCATACAGTGCGACAATAATCACCACAACTAACTAGTTGAACAAAAGCAATAGTGGTTGATATTGTAACACTTTGTATTAACGTTTAACTCAGCTCAAGTTATGACTCCGTTGAGATTTCCTATCGAGGTTATCGTAATTCATATTTTATCCGCATGTGTTTAAATTTATTGGATGTGTGCTGTGTAAATCGTTGAAAATTATAATTTATACTCCGCTAAAGTTATCCTTGATAATTTTATGTTAAATTCTCGTATAATTTTCGTCATTTGCATTGAAATTTTTGGTTTTGAATGCTTTGATGAAGTTTTCGCTTGGTATGCAACTTGTTATACACGTATAACTTACCCATTAAGGAGCGCGGGATCGAGATGATGTTTTATGTCTTCCAGAGCGTCGCCGGCGTCGTCATTATTGGCACAAGTTTTGTCTTTCTCTTCGGAGAATACACAACTGTCAACTGGAAAAAGCGCAGCTGTCTCGGCTGTTCCAGTACTAAAACACAAATAAATAAATTAAATTTTAATATTTTAACTCGGAAATATTCTTAGATACTAAATTGATTGTTCAACTTACAAACATTCGGAGGGTAAATTTATCATGCTTCTAGTTTTAGTCTTAAATCTTATATTAAACATGTTTTTTTAAATAAAAATTAAGAAAAACGCGCAAAAAATGAAAGATTTTTCACTCTTGGAAGCAGAAAAATAAGCTGAACCAACATCCGTCGGTAATCACACACTATTGATAACAGAATACAATGGAGCGACTGTGATCACCACAGTGTGGAAGCAAACAATACACGCGGTAATACTTTCTTGTTTCATAACGACCACGTTTTACGTCTCAATTCGTACGTATCACAGGTATAATTTAATATTTATTTGCTTTAGAATGCGTAAAAATTTAGCACATGCGTCATCACATTGAAATATATTTAAATACACATAAATTTATGTTCATTATAAACTTTATAATGAAATAATAATGAAATATAATCCTCGTGTTGATGATTTTATTAACGATTTATTTTGATTGTTTTAGTTGCAAGTTGTAAAACATCCGGACACTTATCACTATGTGGACGAACACGCCATTACATGAACGCGGAACGAAAGTATTATATGTTGTACTGTTTTACTGTTGGTGAAAAAAAAAAAAAAAAACTGTTGGTATGGAAGCCTGATAAGTACGCCACATGAAGTATTACGGTATATAATTATGTGTACATTAAATAGGTTCGTATTTGTTGAGAGAAAAAAATATACAAAACACGTTGGAAACGTTGCGCAACACGGTGAAACTTAATTAACACCTTCTCGTTCATGAACTTGGTCGATATCGTAACGAGCCAACAAGATTACATGAGTAAGTCCAGCAGATGAAATTAACCTAACTTCAAAAATGTTAAAATGGTGTTTCGGCAACTTGTAAAACAATAATTCACAATTTATGCGGGAAAGTGATAGTTTCTTTCATTATTCGATAGGTGGCGCTGGTGTGGATCAAATTATGCCACTTTCTAACCACATTTGAACAAAAAAAAATTTTGCGTGAATAAAATATTTGTATTTGAAGAATTTTCATTCATTTTTCGAAATAGTATTTGCATGGCCTTTAGAGATTCGAATTTCATCACGATATTCAAGGTATTCTGAAATCCAGTAAAGCATGCAAAAAAATAATGCGCCTGTTTTGTTCACATGAACATGCATCACGTGTAATTGGCCCTGGCAAGTCGCTAAGAGCGTAATATTTCAGTAGACTGGATGACATAAAGTCGATTAAACGCTTTTTCATTTTTAGAAGTTTCTACCTATATTCATGTTGGTTATGCTACCAAAACGAGCAAATAAACTGAATCGTTACACATAAAACTCGTAAAACGTTCTGGGAGCATTACATTTTCTATAAACTGCTTCTAACAACGCATTAACATTAAAAATACACAAAATATTATATCATACAGCAATTTCCGTAAAACTGTAAGTTGGGTTGCATAAATTTATGATATGATTTTTAAAAATCTACGTCAAAATATTGCAAAGTTTAGTGTTACTTGCGTCTAAATATAGATAGTCGTTAAATTCTGGTTAACAATGCACCCGCGCGCGCCCACATACAATGCATTATGCAAAAATCGCTCAGATTCCGCCTACATCCCCACGTTTCGAATTGCAATCATTAAAAATAAAATCCGAACAAACCAATACAATATAAAAATGATATATGCAACTTTTTATGCATATGTGCATTAATCTAACCTTAAAATAAATTATAATAACTCAGAATATACATAATTGTTAAGTGTGTGAATAACTGCAATCAATATTTCAATGAATACTTCGCATTGCGATTCAAAACGATATTCACATCGCTCACGATTCTCTCATTCTCTTGTTCCAGCATCTCCACATCCTGCAAACGGTGAAATCTGGCTCGCGCTCAATTCCATCCCGTTCCACTATTCAGCCAGCGAACATCTCTAGACGTCCACAATCTAGAACAATCCGAGGCACGTTCGCTTCTCTGAACTGCCTCCTACGAATGAAACCCGGGCGAGAAACAAGAATAACGAATGGCTGCTTGCGCCTTTTTTTTCTTTCACTCAAGGTCAAAAGTTTTCCACACAATTTTCAACACATAGCATTCGTTAATGTAAAACGGCAAAATTTAAACGAAATTTTTAATCAAAAAAAGAATAAAAATTCTAGACATTTATTAAATGCATGCATCTAATGGAAAAATATAACCTTGAAATATAATAAAATACCTTTGCCGAGCTTTACGCTCGTGTTACCGATTAATCACTATGATTTTAAGCAGCTAACCACAGTCTTTATATTTGGGAACACGTTACGTTGATTTTCAGTTGTGTGTGTTTGTTGTGTTGTGCGTTTGAATTGCAATTATTACTGGTTTTGATTTGCTTGTGGAGAGTTTTGAGCTTGCATTTGTTTAGCGCCAAAAGATGCAAATGCGTATGAGTGTGAATTTTGAGAGTTGACTTGGTCAGACCGCCCGACCGCTCGACGAGCGATAGTAAAATGGTTGTTTTGGTAGTCGGCTGGTCTGGAGCGGCCGGGCATCGAATTGGATCCTGCGTAGTGGATGAACTTGTGCAGGACACGGCCGGCTGGATCGTTGCGAGCTACGCAGTCGCGCAAACGCTGCCACCACCATCACTAGGGACCGACTGGTTGCCGAGGTTTGAGGCGCGCCGGTCACTTAGCGGATTACACGGCTTGATTATTACTATTCTTAAAGTATTTAATATTAAACTAAATAAAGCTTGTTATCGCATCAATTAATAAATTCTAAATACGGAATTTGGCATATTATTATTAGATTTAATATTATTTTTGATTTTTAACGATTTTTTTCAATAAATTTCAATCAATTTTAATAAATTTCAACTAAAATATGATTATTTGCACATATGGTTGCATATAGTCGTGTTTTTTCCCTCAACGTAATTTATTTGCACATTTTTTGCACAAAAATAGATATTTCAATGCAGGTTTTCTAAAAAAAAAACATTTTTCTCCTTTGAAGTCATTCATTCATACATTTTTTTCTTGCCCATTGTATTCAAATTGTATTTGTGTGTCTCCGCACGTGTCTTATCGACATAACAAGCCCCCGGCCTGACTGAATCTTTAAATGCGAGATAAAGCATTAAAAATTGTGTGTGCTTTATCGCCGACAAATATTCGAGATATCCCTGGCCTCGAGCTAAATCGATACCAGCCGAGCAGACGCAATGAGCGAAGACGTGGGGTGCGTGGCGGCGCGGGGTGGAACCGGAAGGAAATTTCCACATTCAACTACCACTTCGAATGCGCTAAGCATGACACTCGCACACCCACCACTGCAAACACTGATAGTGTTGATAATAGTGGTGCAGGAGACGAGAATGCAAATGATAGTGAATGATAAATTCAAGGTCGCGTATACAATTAGTCAATATTACTTGTTTACAACTTGTAATCAATGCATATCTAACCTCTGGGTTGAGATTTGTTATTTTTTTAAGTTAAATATTAATACTTACACGAGTAAATTGATGCAGTTTGGTCTTTCAGGTCTTTTTCCGTTTGTTTCATGATTTAATGGACCTGCTGATACAGCACGACGTTCCCTGGATCTACCACGCACGCGTAGAACGACATCTAACGGCGAGGAAGATGGACGTTCATCTGGAGTTTTAACTGGACTTCCATTCGGTGCTTAAAATAACAAACACCAAGTAGGAATATTAAACAATCTCAAAATTATGTTTTAATTTATTATATGCAACCAGTTACACGTGCTGCGTGTTATTTTGCTAATAAATCCCTACTAATATTAGAAATGCGAAAGTCCTGATGTTTGTTACAGTTTCACGCAAAAACTACTTAACCGATCATCATGAAAATTTGTACACATATTCTTAGTGGTCCCCGAATGGTTATAGGCAACTTTCTATTTAATAAAAAAATAATTTTTTAAATAAAATAAAGAAATTGTTTAGCCAATAATACCTCTGCATCTGGCTATTTGACTACTTTAACGCCATCTAGCATTCCAGCAATGAAGCTCAAACCTAAGTACTATAGTACCATCACACTGTATTATCACACTGTATTACCGACAGCTACGTCAACATCAAATCCAATTGACTACACTATGGAGACTGTAAACTATACTTCCATAGACTATACTTTCACATAGACTATACTATAGGTTATACGAGTATTCAACTAACCTGAACGTATTTCAATACTTTTAGACCGGAAACTCATGCGTTTACTCCATGTCCGTGTCAGAGTTTTCCTAAACGAACGTTTTTTTCGTTATTCGTTGCACTTCTTCATCTTCTTGCACTTTACTTAAACTGTTGCACCTGCGCCGTGGACCTTCGCTCTCTTCCTGCGGCACTTCTAATAAAATACGCGGTGGTAACACAAGTTGATCAACCATTTTGCACGCAAAATATTATCGCAAACAGCACGATGTAATTAATTGACTTTTTTTGTCATTGATTTATTTTTCTATTCACTTAGATTCACTTGAATGGCTTGTTGAGTTCGCTCAATTAGTGAAACAAGTGTGCATTGTGTCGAATATGTGCTCTGCGACCCTCGATTAAGCCACAATTACCAGTTTCTTATCTCGTTTATCAAATATCTAGTGCTGTACTATTCCAATGATAAAGATAATTTGTTCATTTGTTTGCTGATTGTATATGTATTAATTTCACAAATTTGCTTGTAATATTTTTGTTGATATATTTTCCATAATTCCATAAAATATGTTGCAAGCTCACTTTTTATTTACACTTTTATTTATATTTCATTTATTCACTTTGCTTGCTTAGTAATTTTCCTGTTTTCTTTCATTTTCTGTTCCAGAATGCACGCGCAATCAATCGAATACAACATAAACGTGATTACAATTGAATCCACGAGATAACTCCGTCGACGCACGTATTGTTCATCATGTATTCCGTAATAACAAAATATTATCTCTGTCTCGGTGCGATGATAACGAATAATACAATTTATACGCACTGCTGCAAGCCGAGTGATGTTTGGTAACGGTCACTGTAACCGTTCGCGAACTTTGTAGTGCCGAAAACGCGATTCACGCGACTGAGACTCAAGTACACTACTAAACTTAAACGATTATATTTTTGTCGCATTTATTACACCAGGTGCTTTAGTGTGTTCAGTCTTTTTAGTGTCTGATAAACACTGAGCCTTTAAATAAACACAATAAAATAAAATCAGTATTATTTCAAGTGTGTATTGTTGGTTGCCTATAGTCACTGCTGGTAAATTCAATTTTTAAGTTTTTAAATCACTAATTTAACGTTTGATAACACCCTGAGATGGGAATTCATGAACGTTGGCAAGCTATCAACCACACAACGTTCATTACAGAACTAAAACAAACCACCAAGTTATATTTCAAGTGTATTTGTATGCCAGGAACACGTTTGTTTACTTAATAACAAAGCAATAAATTCCAACACTTTATTTAAGCACTTTTTTTTTTGCATTAAAATTATTCACTGCAGTATTAATGATTGGTGTGTTGGTGCGTTTAGTTAGTCGATCGGATGTTTGATTAATTCATGTCTATCTATTGGAGCGAGTTAACGGAAGCTTTGGTCGAAACTCCTTTCGGAGCGGGCACGCGCTGACTGGACAGTGGTGTCGGCAGTGGAACGAACAGAACACTTATTTACTATTTATCTCTACCCCGGCGCGTGACGATAAAAGAAATCGAATCAAATCGAATCGAAGCTATCGAAAATGAAGGCGAGTGACGGCGACAGCGACGCATCAAACGGAAACAAATTGACATTGGGAGTGTGCGATTGCGATTGCTATTGCCTCAAGCGCCAAAGGACGATTTATATTCCTATATATAAATCTTACTACGCGTGACATTCATGGTGCCTTTTTTAATTTTGGATCGTCTATTTCTGTTAGTTTTTTAAAGGTTCAGTTAAAATATATTATAATAATAAAACTATAAGAATACAATACTTTACCGTCATTTTTTCGTTGAAGAAAATGCTTGTAAACTTCGAAATGAGTTTAAAATTATTTTATACGTGTCTAACACACAAACTAACTCATTTTGTACCATTTGGTGTTTAAAATAAGAAACGTCAAGTAATATTGTCAAACAACCTCCAAAAATGACATTTTCATTTAATATATGCAACCAATTACACATGTTGCATGTTATTTAGCAAGTCTAGGTTATATTCAACTAATCTGAACAATTTTCGATACTTTTCAATCGAAAACTCATACGTTTTCTCATTTATAATATTTATAAGTATAAACCAATACTTTTTCCTAAATGTTTTTGAAATTAAAGGTTAGTTTAACACAAAATTTGAATTTTTATAACCTTATGCATCTTAAACGTGCATGAAACCTGTTTCTTGTTAATAACTAAATTAATTATTTGAAAACCATTGAAACCATTTATTAATTATATACATTTACATACTGCTTCCATAATAATAGTGTGTAATTGTAATTATTGTTAATATATGTAAGAGTAGTTATGTGGTGTTTGTTTTTAATGTAAGTGCGCCTGTCACAGAATACTCGCATCACTACAATGACTACAAGTTTTTTTTATCGAGTTGATAATTAGTCTACGTGTGTATCATTTGCTTGTTTCGTTTGTATGCGAATTCAACAAATATCCAACAATCTAATAGGAATACACCAACAAAAAACTATTCATCACTTAATTATTTAAACCTCCGAATGAATAATAAACCAAAAACAGTGCATGTTAAGTTGCATACATTAATCCGCATAGAAATAAAATATTTAACATTTACATATCATAATTTCTTAAGTATTTAATATTACTAATAATAAATTAAACTTATAGTACTAATAAAGCTTAGATTTGTTGTCTGCAACGTCAACATATTCAAAAATAGCGTCAAGCGTAGGAAAAGTCCGCTTTAATTCAAAGGGTTAAAGATTAAGATGAAAAAATATACAACTATTTGTTTCTGCATTGTTTAAAGTGTCTACAAACTACCGTTAGTGTTTGTATCTTATTTGTTTCATTGATTCGTTTACATTTTACATCATTAAAAGCTACTTTGACTAATAATTACGTTTCCACCATGTTCTTTCTTTTTGTGTCATTCTACAAGACTTGTTTATGTACAAAACTTAGTTTTATAAACTGAGCATAATCATAGAGCATTAGTTTAAACTTTTAACGACCGAGGAACAAGAACTATGTTTTATGTTTTGTTAGAAACTGATGTACGAACAAAAGAGGTGCTCTAATTGTTTATTCGTCCATGTGTCTTTCATTATTTGTTTAATGTACTGGTTTTTAGTTTAACTACCACTCACTGCTTAAGCCTATATCACAAACCCTTGTTTTACACTTTAATTTTGTTTCATTTTAGTACCAACCAAAACAAAACCGAAAAACTATGCTGATTGTTATTGAAAACATCGCTCGCAAAAATATCAATCCTCAATTGTTTTATTCTTGCATGTTTTTGCAATATTTATCTGATTATGTTGAAATAATTGATTTTGTCATCGCCATTTTGTAATTTTTGGATTTTATGTAATTTTACCTTAGAGCGTTTTTATCTCTGCATTCAAGAAGAGGAAATAAGCGTCGTACAATTATTACACTATTGTTATTACATATTATTTGCCTATCTACATTAGAAGTTTATTAATTGTTGCATGTTACCAATGTGTGTAATGTGGGTGTATGAGTGTGTAATAATATCTAAATGTAATTCTGTTCATCTGAGTATCTTGCACGTTGTATTCGTTTCGTTAAAAATGAACAAGTTTGTCAAAGTCAATTCAATTACAACATTTGGAACTTTAACATTCTTGTATGTTTTTTTCAAGTTCATTGTCTGTTTCTTTATAGGTTATTGTATGTCCAACATGGCGTACATTTTCTTTCACTTTCTTCATAAAGCATCTTAAGGTTAAGTTTTGTTTTTTTTCTTCTTCTGCGGGTTAACAGAGCACATTTATTTGTTTTGCATATTCTAATGAAAACCAATCACATTCACATTCGACGAATATGAAAGTTTTGTTTCTTGTTGTTGTTTTTTATACTTTTTTAGGTTTTATATTAGTTGATGCATTACGTTTTGGTTATACATAGAATAATTGGTTGTTGAGTAAAATGTATAATATTATCAGTCTAGGTTATAATTGTGTGTTGTTTAGCAAATGTATGTTCTCTTTTTTGATTCGATGACATTCAAAACAAAATGGCCGTTTGATGACTACTACCACTATGAGTGTGTGAAACACAATGACTAAAGCACCTATTAAAAATCCGGCACTATCTGTAGCACTGACTACAAAGGCCACTAAAAACTCTAAAACGGCGGCCATTTTGGTTGCAAGATGACAACTACAAGGACACTACACATTTGGTAATGCATATTTTTGGCTTGGGGGTTAGTTTGCGTTTGTGGGAACTAGACTGATTTGTACGCGTGTGTGTACTTTCACAATAGGCAACCAAGTTTACTCGCGCAGCTTGTGCCAGTCTGCGATTTGACGGCGCGGCGAGTTGCACACTTCGTTCCAGTGATGTAACGCTGAGCCAGTGCATTTAGATCCACCCAAATCCAACCTTCCAATAACCTTAAAATCAGTCAATTTATTAAATGCATTATTTGTAATAATTAGTGTAGAATAAGTTGCCTACCTCATTCTTAGTTACTCTATCCCAATCCAACAGCAAAAACTCCAAACTGACTTGTTCCAAAGATCCCTCGCCGTTGGCAGGGATGTCAAAAACAAAGCTTTCATTGAAGACTGGACTAAGCGTACGCTTCTTCACGTGAGTCTTCTTTTTGGCAATACGCTGACCATTGTAAAGCAAGTAGATCTTAACGTACGGATCAGCCAAACCAGTGACGTCCATTTTAGGAAGATTACGAGCCTTCAACACTACAACAGTAAGTCGAGTGGCCGCTGGTTGCCAACAAAGAGAAACCAAGAGTTCTCCTCGACCTTGACTTTTAATCTATAATAAAACACCCAAAAATTAATACATCATCATTTTCAGAAGAAAAAAACTAATACCTTCAAACTACGTGGTTGAATCTCTCGACACAAAGCCGTCTGCTGTTTCTCTGCCTGCGATAAATCCACGGTATTCAAAGCACAGAACACCTCGCCGATAATATCATCACGAGAGTATCGATCGAAACTCAACACAACAAAGTGCAGAGTAATACCCGGGAGCTGATTGAAGTTGAGCCCGTAAAAAGTAAAATCTTCATCGTAGACAGGGTTTCTGGTCTTGCGCAGGACGCGAGTCTTCACTTTGTGCTGCTTATCCGGAAGCAATTGCAGTTTGACATAGGGATCACTTGATCCCAAGTTCGGATCCTTCGCTGGTAAGTCACGACAACGCACGACGGAAACAATCAAAGCATTTTTATCCGTTTTGTACCTGAATAATCAAAATTATTAAAAATAGTATTAAAATGTACACAGAATTAAAGTTAGGTTAACTAACCTCAATTTAAAGACCAATTGTCCAAGATAACTTGCACTTTGCGCCGTGTTTTTCTCGTTTGTTTCGACTTCCTCACGATTTGGAGATTGCAGCTCGGTTTCAGTGGTGAAAACAATATCCTTCTGTACCGGGAGGTGGTTCACCTGGCTCACCTGGTCCATATGACTGTTGACACCCGCCTCCAATGCGCCGGGCATATTCCCGGTTGGACTGGGCGTGTTGTGCCCAGACATCTGCGCATAAAAATTGGTCATAACCTGACGACCTTTCAAACAGCACGCGAAGTAAAACTGCTTTCGTTGCAGTCGTCACGAACGGAAGCGGTCATAAAACTGGAGTTAAAGTTTAATATGCTGCCATAGATCATATTAAAATGCAGCTCTTGGAATATTTACAACATTGTGTAGTGTATACAATGAAATTTAGTCTAAAGTTACTTACACCAGGTGGAGAACGTCCTGGACCAGTCGGAGATGGACTCTTCTTAAGGTAGTGAGAACTGGCACCCGCCGGACTCTTGACGGCCGTTGGGCGGCGATGCGAGTGAAATGCCAAGGGTTGTTCAGGGCCCTGCCGCTTACCGTTCGCCGCCCGACGGCGGCGATAACAGAAGCACGTTGCCGCTACCATGCACACCCCGAAGACAGCTCCGGCCAAACATAGTGCAATTACCGTCGAGGGATTCACTGAAAACATTAATTAATTAATTTAATAATTTATTTCAGTAACAATCGACTAAAAATGATTAAAAATTTATTTTTTTAGGAACACACTGTATATATACGCGTGTTGGCGTGTGTAAAACGGGTGGAGGGTGCAAAACGTAATTATGTTTGCCTGCGTGCTACTCGACGCGGCCTTATCGATAAACTATGTGTGTAATAAGGTGAAAAATCTCAAATTTTAATTATTTAATTCGTATGCCTCAATTATTGCCTCCTGGTTCCTGGGGGTGAAATATTCAAGGATAAATTTAATACAACATTGTTATGCCATGTTTAATTTATCGATTTCAACAGAAACAAAATTCCATTTGAATTTATATTCAACTTTGTTATACAATCCAATTAACTGAAAAGTTGTATAAAAAATGTTTGCCTAATCAATGGCGGGTTCCTTTTTTTACCCAATTTTATCCTGCGTCCTACACCCACATTCAAAACCCAAATTAACATTTTTTGTTTTAACAACCCTGCGAAACTTTAGTTATCGGTGAAAGTTTGTCGTTCGATGTTCAAACAACGTTTATAAAGTCCTGTTTAAAGTTTGAAAGTCCTGCCTGCCACACAATGGCAATCATAACAACATTACAGGCTTTTTGTTGAAAAGTACGGCTTCTTTTCTTTAGAAACAAAAGTCACAAGGTGAGGGAATAAAGGCGACTTGGTAAATCATGTTAAAACTTTGGTATTTTATTCTTGTCGAGTTGACTTTGTGTGAAAACATTCAAAACGTTAATTTTCTCTTAATTTATTAACAACTTGTTTTCAGCTTTGGTTTCTATAGAGTACTTGAATTTCCATGTACTTTAAAGCAGGATTTCATGAATAAAAATGGGAAAATCGTTTAATATTTGCATTCTAAAGTTAAAAAATGCCAGAAACATCAGTTTTTATTTTAATATGTGATTAAAATTAAAAGACGTGACTAAAACCTGTGACTAAAGTACTTTAGTCACGGTCGTGTATAAAGTACCATTTTTTGTGTCTAAAAACAAGAAAAATAGAAAAATTGTAATTAAAAAGTTGAAATGATTGCAAAAAATGCGTCTCAGCGCCATCTATGAAGTATTTACTGAGATATATTACCGACAACTATTTATTTCATTATTCACCTCTAGGAACAAATTATTTTATGTAAAACTTTCTCCTAAATCTAATCCCATTGCACAATTATTGGTACTTAAAGCACCATTAGAAGTATTCTACAATTAATTAGCACAAATGTACGAGTTATCCAACATTTACTTATAAAGCGATATACACTCAACAACAAGTAGTAGGTAACTTGTTGATTACTCTGTTTGTTGTTGTTTTGTTTTACTACTCAACAGTTGATTGCCGCTTGTTTTCGTTTATCTACGTCAGAGTGTATCAATAATGCCGCGCTATTATGTTGTAATTTCACCGAGTTTGCTTTGGCTATTGCCCTGATCATTAATCTGCACTCAAGATGTAACAATCAACTAATTCATTTACCGATTACCCAATTAGAAAGTTGAATGTGGGTTGAATTGATTTTCCTCTTGATTATTGTTTGTTCAACACCCCTGGAGATTGAATTCGCAGCCAAAGATAAAATGAGATATGAATCAAGGATACAAAATGGCCGCTGGTGTTGTATGTTTGTTTTGTACGAGTAGACAATTAAATCAAAGCTTTGTGGCGATTGAATCTTGTACAGACACGGACAACATGAGATTAGTAACTATACAAAGTGTCACTTGAAGTTTAATTTGATTGTAGTGCAGCATAGTGTATGTAATTACATTCTGGCAGCGAGTTAAGATCATGGGCGGGCGAGGAAATTCGAATAATTCGATTTGCTGGCAGCGAAGCTCAGTTTTGGCGTGGGACTGAACGTTGACTGAACGTCGTCAAGCGGTACATCTCCAGAAGACACGAGACGATAGATAATTAAATTTGTAATTAAGAGTTGAAATTGCTTTACAACTTTTTTCGTCTAATTTTCTAACACAGTAACAATGTTACCGCGATTTACATTTAATTTCATGTTCATACTCGTACATGATAAACTTTTTATAAACACGGACAAAAGAAAACATGACTAAAGTAAAATACTTTAGTCACGGGGTTTAGTCATGGGGTAGGGTTTGCGCATGCGCATAAAAAGATTATTTTACGATCTTATTCAAGGATAATAAAGCGATGAAAGTTGATTTTCTTTGACTTTGTTTACAATAAATTTGCATATATATTACTTATTATTATTATTATTATTAATTATAAACAATGATGTGCTTGGGTATGTTGAAATTCTGTCCTCGCGGGACCCGTGACAAACGTGACATTTGCGAACGCTGTAAATAATCTACATAAACACATAGACACACATAGTTGTTGCGAAGGGAAACGAAAATCAAAAGATAACCGAGATTCATCCCGACGTATAAGACTGAACGCAAAAGGTTTTACTCTTCGTAACAGAATAGTACAAAGGCAAAGCGAGACCAATAGAAAACTGAAGAGCGTATTCCTTTGAACTGTTTTTTGTACACAGGTATCAAAGAACAAAATCGCAAACTACTGAGCATAATTGACAAAATTCAAAACTACAGAATGCACATTTATATAATATAAAAATTGTTACAATCATTATAATAGAAAATTATGGAGTCAATTACACATTTTGAATCATTAATAATGCAAAAATGTAAATTATTACTGAGCAAAAACCCGCCTGGAATTTTTTGCTCTTCAGTCTGTTTTTGCATTTTTGTATGTTTTTTTTTCCTTTCGTCGAGTTCGCTTTGCATGTAAATGAACACGACGTGGCGGTTCTCTTCGTATACGCGTGCCCGGAATTGAATTACCACTCGAGTCAAATCTGCAGATGTCTACAGACACGCGTTTCCCTTCCGGTGATGATGCCCTGATCACGATTCCCACCTATTTCAGCTTTCAACATAATCTCATATTTTTCACATTGGTTCAATGCGAAATGAATTCCCTTTGGAGAAAAACGCAATAACTATCTAAAAATATGCAGATTGGAATTTAAGATGGCGCGTGGCATTTAAGATGGTCTTGTGCTGCACTGTAGACAAATGCGCTGGCGTAAACATTCCATCGTGACTAAAACCCGTGACTAAAGTACTTTAGTCATGGCCTTAGCCAAAATACTACTTTTTGTGTCTCAAAACAGTGAAAACCCCGTTTTAAAAGTGAATGTAGCAAAATATAAGTCAAGTTTTATTGAATTTGCTATCAATTGGAAGCGGAAACTTGATTTTAGTAACTCGTACTTCTAAGGTTCTTTCAGCATGCCATATTATAAAATAGAAAACTAGTTTTTGTAATGCAGTACGCGTATACATTTCTGCGCGTGTCTACCGCCTCTGATCAATGCGCCACGAGTTTCCGGTTTCTCTAGAATTGGAGAAATGAAATGAAATTGCTGAAAGACCTTTCCTACTAAATGTCAGCGTATCGCAAACCTCCAAGATACATAAATCACAGCACTCAATTAAGCCCGAGATGCATTTAATTTGAAATTGAATCTAAAAGTATGGATTCCACCCTGAATTATATCAAAAACATTCATACCATAACTAATTTCTTACTTTAATAAAGTCATTCGTCATATTTTATTAATATACTTAGATGTAACTTGAGATTATGTACAATTTTTTCTCTTGAAGTCCAATTTTACCACCACCACCCACATTAATGCAAATACTTACACCTGTATTATCATCATGATGAAGTCTAGTAATTTTAGTGCAGATAAATTTAATATAGGCAACCAAATGTACAAAACTTACATAACCACAAAAATACAATAAAATTTGAAGTTAATTTTTATAAAGTGATTAGATACTTGTTTATTGTATACTGTCGGTATGTTTACCAATTGTGACCCGAATTTCTCACGCCTCCACACAGCATGGATAAGAACATGAGTTATGAGAACACCGGACGTGATATCGACGTATACAACGTTAGTGACTCATCCGGAAAACTTCTCCCAGGCGTACACCGTAAGTAAGTGAAGTCGGAGTGAAAATTATGTGTCATTTTAGTTCGTCATGTTTCAATTTTTTATATCTTACAAAATGGCTACCACATGTCAAGATATATCTTCAATAATATTTTTCGACGCCGTCCGCTTCCGAACTTGATTTTTATTGTCTCGGTGTTAGTTTCTGTTTTTGTATTGAATCACCGTGGGATTTCACTTCGAGTTTGCTCCGACGCTGTCATTCAATAGGAATAACACAGTTTCATAGCCGAAACTATCATCATCACGAGTATCCGAACAGCGGGAAAACAACAAACATTGTGGTGCTGGTGAGTACCTATACAACATCCAACATGGCTGCTATACGTGTTGGAGAAACACATTATTGGTGCACGTCCAAAAATAGAAAACTGAGCAGAATAACATGAAACACAATTCCAATAAGGTAAACTTTATTTTGCTTCAATAGATTAGATTTGATGATTTAAATTTTTAGACGGGAATTTCCATAAGGTACAAAATGGCCGAGCGGACGCGAGTTGAATAATTAATAATGACGGACGCGAGCCAGACTCGAACATCAACTCAACTCAACATCATGAGTTTCAAGAGCTGATGAGATGAAACGCGACAGGCGAAAATGTAGCAGTAATAAGGTAATGGATGCTTTAAAATAATGCAGTTCATCATGTCGCCTTTAATTAGTATCACTATTATTAAATTTTAGAATTTTAATTTAAAGAAAACGTAAAATCGATAAAATTCTATGAATTTCCTAGAAAAAGTGGGTGTAAATCATTATTTCTTTGAAAAAGTGACATTTTAGTCAAAATTATGCCGTTTTTGTTGAATTTTTGTTAATATATAAGAAAATAAGTATTAAAATACTTGATTAAAGTTTTTGTTTTGCTCATTATTGGTATACGTGTTGATAGGATAAAAATTGAAATACATTTTTTGCAGTATTTAACACGTACTGCTTTGATAAGAGCAAAAAATGTATGTTGAAAGTCCTAAAACATGGGTTCTATTTACTGGAGTAGAAAACAATGTTGGGCACTTTTATGTCTTATTTTATAACAAATGTCTTCGCTCGTAATAGTATTCTCATGTCAGTTTTTTGCATCATTATTCTTTTTTCCTACGCTTAAAAAGCCGTAATAAATAGCAAAGTATGCAACAAAAATAATCCAACTGAAAACAGTGAGTGTGATTCAGCATTACAAGAATTGATTTTTTTTATTGTGATTGTGATAGGTTTTCCCGATTACCAACACGTCAACAACACAGTCAATAAAATACAATACAACACAATAAACAATAAAATACGAGTACTATTATAATAATAATGTAATATTTATAAATGTGTTATTTGAATATGAATAAATGTAAAACTCACCCCTGTCAAGGGCTTTTATCTCTGGCCCGTCCTGCGACATGGCGCGCCTTGAGCTGCGACTCGCCAACCAAAACGTCTAACCAAAAACGGCGTTTCCAATCGAGAGTGAATGTACAGACAATGTACAGCCGGAAAATTTCAACGATGTGTGTGTTAACTCGCGAACTAACCACCGCTTAACCCGTAGCGCGGAAATAATATGGTGTTAATTTTAAGTTGAATGATTTTTTTTGGAGGAAAACACAATCCGAACGCGCGATCGACGGCGCAGAAGACTGGCTCGTGTGCGCTTCGACGACGCTTGTTGTGTCGGCGCCGCCAACCCTGCCTCCACCATCGCAATCAATATGTGCGCGGGGGGCGCAAGCGCGCATGATGGTTCTCGGTGGTGAAGAGCGCGGAGCGGCGTGACGTCACCTATATAGTCGAATTGCATTCGTTGCCATCGAAGCGAAGGTTGTGTGGGTTGCGGGTTGAAGTCCCGCGGAGTATTTCTGTTGATATTATTAAAAACATAACCGTGAATAATAAATAAACCTAAAATAAAAAAATTTAAAAAAAAATTATTTTTAATTAAATTTATTAAAATTAAATTATATTTATTAATTTTCTGTTTGAAAACAATTTGTGACACTTTGTATACCCGCGTCAAAAAAGCCGATATTGAAATGATGGACGAGTACAATGCGGAAAATGTTGCGAACGAAAATCTCGTAAACTGATCCGCCATCAGCGGAGCGATGGTGGCGGAACGAGCGATGGTGGCAGCGCCGAAGGGTGCAAGTATTGAGTATTATGTCCACGCTCAACATGGAAACGAATCGAATCGCCTTTCAATATAAATCCGCTCTGAGTATGCAAATGCGCAACAAGCAACAAATCCATGTAGACGAACAGGACAAGCACATTCAATCAAAGTCGAAAATAGAATATCCTGAAACAGGCCACATTTACAGCTTTACTGCGTCTTGCATAAATCTCACGTGGAATCATTGACGTCATATTTATATAATACGGATGTCAATATTTGTTTCATTGTGTTTGACACGACTAATTACTTGATTAGGTATCGAGTATCAAGTATTGAAAAGTCACGCACTATAGGCAACCATACATACACCAAACGTTTGCATTTTAACTTTAATATGAATTTAATACTTAAATGATTAATATGTTGGTATTGGGTGTTTAATTCACGTGTATTGTTGGTTGCATATCCTGTTCAATCATCTGTTTTAGTAAAATATGTTGAATTGTAAATGAAAACGAAAAGAAAACACACGTTGCCAACATTATTATTAGAAATTATAATTACCAGCGTTATAAGTTATTAAAATAATCATAATTACAATAGTTTTACAGTAATAATAATAATAATAATTTAACGATGAGTACTTTAACCGTAAGTATATGCGTTTTGTGTGTGTGTGTATTGATTGTAACATAAGGTTGTTGAAGAGAATCAAAATTTGTCATCATTCTCACTGCTGCATTTAGTCAATAATTTATTGTACAAAGTAAAAGTTGAACGTGATATGGTTCAGCATGTTGCGCATCGTGATTTATTTCAAAAAGCAACAATGATTGATGTGATGTGCCAAACTTAAGTGACGCAGATGATCGTAGGTATTATTATTACATTAACAAAACAGCGATGACAAACTGTGCGCGAACATCTCTCATCTCGATCTGGAAGTTTTCGGATGTTTGTAGATGTTGGTGATGAAAGCGATGGATTGATTTAATATCCGGCCAACTCGGCGAAGGTGGAGTCCATCTCGTCGGCCAAGGACTTGTACCTGTCCTTGTTGATACCAAGTTCGTCTGAAATTCATCAACACCTTGAGAATTAATACCAGAGTGACATAATGTGACGGGTCGTCAAGATAAAATAATGTTAGCAGCACCACATTGAGCGTGTTTTACCTTGCGGTCGTTAAGATCGTTAAGATTGCAAAGATCGACGGCGGTGGCAGCGGTTAGGAGCTTAATTAGGCGTGGGTTGCTTTTAAGCACACTAGGGCTTAAATTTAGCAAGCAGGCAGGCGAGAAGCTAAGAAGCGTTAGAAGTGAGGCGTTAGATGAACAGAGCGAAGCGGAAAATGTAAAATTATGAAAATTATGACATTGAAGGCGTTTGTGGGGTTTGGTTTCACATTAAGTGGAAATTACGGTTTGTAGCATACAAAAGGTCAAAGGATTAAACTGGAATCTTGGAAAAAATTATTTTTCATTTTTGACTGAAAACACATTGTATGTTCGATATGTTTGTGTTAGTATGTAGTAAATTTTCATTATTTGCGCGTTTTTTTTGGAAAATGTGTTTTAGCACGTGTTTTTCATTAGTCAAGCAGCAAATTGACTTGTAATTGCTTAATTTCACAAGTATTATGTTAATTACGATAATAAAATTAAGAAAATGAATAGAGTAGATGTTAGGTTAGGTTAGCTGCTAGTTTTTGCTCTGCGAAGACATTTCGACGAATGTCTTGTCGATGTCTGTGACGATGCCTTCGTATTTGGCTTTTTCACGCAGAATTCCATCTGGAATTAGCAAACAACATCTAAGCATTTGTTAATTATTGATGAAAATGTTGTAAACGATGCCAAAATTAGTAACTAATGCTATTTTGCGATGTATATGATTGTTAGCTTATGTTAGCTTCTACTTTTGGCTCTTTGAAGACATTTCGACAAAAGTTTTCTCGATATCGGTAACGATGGCATCATATTTGGACTTTTCTCGAAAAATCCAATCTGCAAGAAGCAAAGCAAAATCAAAGCATGCGTTAATAATATACATGTGCAAAGTACTAAGTGTTCTAGAAGAGAGAGAGTATTGATATTGAAGCTAAAGCGTGTTTAACTATATTTTCTGACAAAACATTGAGGTTAGGTAAGGTTGTGTTAGCGGGGCTTCTACTTGTTGCTCTGCGAAGACATTTCGACTAATGTCTTATCCATATCTGTGACGATGCTTTCGGTTTTGCCCTTTTCGCGCAGAATAGCATCTGGAATTAGCAAGTATCAAAGCATTTGTTAATAAGCATTCAGAATATGCAAAATCCCCGGTTTTGCTGTAAAAGGAAACTGGTTTAGCAATTTTAGTTGGTTGGGTTTTACCTTCCAGCCTGTCGACTTCCTTCTGGAGCTTCTTGACGGTCTTCTCGGCGAATTCGGCACGAGCCTCGGCTTCCTTCAACTTGACAGTGAGGGTCTTCAACTGCTTCTTGAATTCCTCGACTCTTTGATTGGCCTTCTCTTCGGAGACCTCCAGAGACTTGAGGGAGTTACCGACGACCTTCAACTCTTCCTCCAACTCCATGATCTTGGCATCACCACCCTTGACACGATCCTCAGCGACTTCCAACTCGTCTTCAACGAAGGCCAGCTTGCGGGAGACTTCATCGGACTTGTTGTCGGCATCCTCAGCCAACATCCTGGCTTCCTTCAGTTGGTTGGTCAGCTGGTCCATACGGGCCTCATCCTGTTGGGAACGGTTCTCCAATACCTGGCACATACTAATCATCAAAATAATTAAATTTTTATTGAATTTAAAAAAAGTATTTGTATGGTTACCGGGAAGCTTCATCGGCAGCTTGGGAGGCTTCAGCCAACTTGGTCTGGGCAGTGTTGGAACGCTCCTCGGACCTTTCCAAGTCCTCCTCAATGAGCTGGACTTTACGGTTCAAGGAAGCAACTTCAGATTCAGCCTAAAACCCAAAATATTTTCATAAACATTAATCTACACCTTTTTGGTTGTAGTATTATATCAACTTACAGCAGTCAAAGCCTTCTCTTTGTTGTCCAGGTTGGTGTTGCCCTGTTCGAGCTTCTGCTTGTTGGTGGCAAGATCCTCCTCGACTTGGCTGAGCTTCTTCTGGCACTCACGCACCTCCTCGTTGACCTTTTCAGCACGCGCGTTTGCGTCCTTGTACTGGTTCTCCATCGCGTCGGCCTTGTCCGAGGCGTTGTCCTTCTCAAGCTTCATCGCTTGCATCTTCTTCTTGATCGCGTCCATGGTGCTGGCTTTTTGGTTCTTTTCGGACTCTCACAAGAAAAACACGATAGCTGCAACCACATCAATCAAATTCAATTCAGGTTAATCACTAATACCACGTAAATATTATGATCAAATCATTTACCAGAGTTTATTACGAAATAAACGCTGTGCTAAATTTAACCTAATGTCTACGCTATTTTCATTTCTGCAAACTCGAAAACTGGCAAACCGACGGATTTGTTTGTTTTGGGCTAAATTTAGATGAAAATTTTAAATATTTCTGGATTATTTATTTATAATTATTTTGGTGGTGAGCGTGAAAGTTTTATTTTATTAAAATTAATTTCGAATTTTTTCCAGAATAAAAACATCTGTTGAGATATAGAATAGTTGAGAATGTGGGAAGTTTTGAATGTGTGTACATGATCGTGGTACAGCTTGTCGCCCGAAATAGCCCGCTCCTGTTTTAGCCCGAACGACCGGCCCGACATTCCTGCCGGCGTTCGCGTGCGCGCGTATCAAGTGTGCCTTCCTCGCCCGAGCGTGAGCTGATGCAACCGCGCATGCGCACCACCAACGCGCGTAGGTGGCGCCTTTCTTAAATTTAACCGACCCATATATCGTAACGTAATCGAAACCCAATAAAACTCAACAACGAAAAAATTAACAACATCAACAACAATAGAAAAACAAACAAAAATCATTCAGATGTCAAGCTTAGCATTAAAAACATTTTGGATTATTTCGCAGTTTAATATAAGCTGCTATGAAATGTTTGCAGCATTAGCGTTTGTGGTAGTTTTTTGCAGAAGAGCTGGTTAGATGGCTGGCGAATTTTGTTTCACAACAGACAGACACAGATTTGAAAAATGAAAGTTATTTGACGGAAAAACGAGCACGCATCACCTACCTGTGGCCGTTCGCGAACAGAAGCTGCTGGTATCCTCTCAGCTACAGGCGTCGCGACGCCGACAGTCGGCCGCAGCCCGCCGCCCCACCATCGCCGAGCTCGATTCCCCTTCGACGCGCCCGTCGATCACTACGCATGCGGGACGGGATTAGCAGCATGCGGGCGATTCCCAACATTTTTCTTTTTCACGCCGCGCCATTTCCATTTCTATTTCGTGTAAGAATACGATTTCTGTTGCAAAACAGACGGAAAACGCGGGCGGAACGATCTCAGAACGTGCTAGTTTCTTTTAACGTATTCTTAGATTATTTTTTTGGATTTTTATCGTCCTGTTAATGAAAGTAACGAAATATTTGGGAAACATAAGTTTTTAAAATGTATCATAAATAATGTCAGCTCAAAAAATATCAGAAAAACTTAATCAAATCATTCATAAATTTTATAAACAATTTATTTATGTACATAAACGTTTTTTGTTTACGTTGTTGAATAATGTACATCATTTTTTAAAAGATTTTTGTACCACCCATCTTATATAAATTATATTTTGAGTTTAGGTAAATTTTGATGAGAAAAAATCAAAAATTAGCAAAAAAAATTTTAAAAAAAACTTTTTTTAAACTTTTTTTGAATATTCACGTAATAATATTCATTTCTTTTGAATTGCTGACTTAAAATTATAATAATTACTCTACTTAATAACTCTACTTAACAAAAAATCATAAATTAATCTCTGCTACTTACGAAAAAACCTTTAAACCAGATTTTGTTTTATTGCACATGTCCATGAAAACCACAAATAAAAAACCGTCTCTATAAACTCTAGATAAATCGCAGCGCGGTGTTACCAAAGTGAAAAAGTGAACTTGTTTAGCCATATTTGGGCAAAAACACGCAAACACTTGAGATATTCACGTTTAGACCGCACTTTTCCGTAATCTTTTCGTGGGCGGTTGGGTTTTTGGTGGCGGCGAGTGCGGCGCGTAAAAATAAACCTGGTGCGATGGCGGCGTGATGAATTATAAGGGATGATCGCAGCATTTGCGTCGGCGTCGCGCGCTTTTGATGCGAAAATATCGGTCAGTGGGTCGGCACCACAATGCACTCCGGCGGCTGCGCAACACGACGACGTGTGTGACTTTGCGCGAACATGATCACCATGATCGGCGTTTATAAAAACATAAGATATTTTTTTATTTCAACAAAGAAGTGCATAGAAATTGCATTAAATATGGAAATTAATATTATACACATAAATCTTTTTGTTATTAATGAAATTATTGAATTATAAAAAATAAAAAGTTAATGTAAACAAAAATAATGAACCAGAATAATGTAAGTTGAAGGTTTATTTGGGTGGCAAATAATAATTGAAAGCATGCGGCGCACTTTCAATGTCACTTTCGTTTTTAACTCTTCAGTAAATGCAGGTTTGATTGCCTACTTAATTTATAATAACCTTCAAATTTTTCATAATCGGCAGCATCATTTGTTTTTAAAATTGTAGAAAATAACTATTAATAATATGTCTGTTATTCGTTACCATAGCAACACAATTTGGTTATTATTTGTATTTCCCCCTGAAATATAAAAATAAAACTCTGATTAATCAATTTGTTTGTTCTTCTGGTTGCCTATGAACTGAAAATAGGTAACAATCCCTACTAATATTATAAATGCAAAAGTCCTGATGTTTGTTACACTTTTACGCAAAAACTACTTAACCGATCATCATGAAAATTTGAACACATATTCTTAGTGGTCCCCGAATGGTTATAGGCTACTTTTTATTTAATAAAAAAAATAATTTTTTAAATAAAATAAAGAAATTGTTTAGCCAATAATACCTCTGCATCTGGCTATTTGACTACTTTAACGCCATCTAGCATTCCAGCAATGAAGCTCAAACCTAAGTACTATAGTACCATCACACTGTATTACCGACAGCTACGTCAACATCAAATCCAATTGACTACACTATGGAGATTGTACACTATACTTCCATAGACTATACTTTCAGCCATTTTAAACTTCCCGCCATTCTACTTCATTGTTACTTCTTCTGTGACTACAGACGCGTACGGAAGCAACTTCATTATTTTAGATATTCGCGATCGGATCCGCGGGTTAAAGCTAGTATAAAAATAAAACTCTGATTAATCAATTTGTTTGTTCTTCTGGTTGCCTATGACCTAAAATAGATAACCATAGTCAATATTTTAAAATTCAATTATTTTAATTGAACAATATGCAGGCAAATATAAAATTTCAATATAAAATCATTTAACAAAATATATACTCGGATTTTTCAATTTAAATAAATATAAATATTCATAAAAATAAAATAATTGCATTTAATATGCACGGAATCCATTTCATAGCAATAGAATACGAATCTAAAGTAATAAAAAATGAGTTTTAGTTTTAGAATTAAATTAAATGTACCGAGTAATAGATATATTCATTAAACTTCTTTCTTTCTACGTTTAATTATCATTAACATAGAAATTTCATATATGGTAAACTCTAATTTTGCTTCAACTGACGAAAACACAACAATAATCTAAATATTAACTGGTCCATGAATTTGATTTCGATCTCGATTTTCACCACACTGCCACACTCATAAACCAAATCCACTCCGATTGCTTCGCACTTTGAAAAACATTACATTCGATTCTAATTACAATTATAATTACATTTTACCTTTTAGATTTGCGTTGATAACTTTCGCATGTATTAAAAGTCTTCATTTCACCAAAATTGTGTCCGTAAGTGGTCTTAATCGAATTGGCGTATGAAATAAAAGCATTCGAGTTTCTATTTTAAATTAAAAGTTAATTAATCATTAATGGCACACGTGTTCTGTGACAACAAGACACCTTAACGTGTTGTTATGATTATGGCTTGGTAAAGATATTTTTTATGTTGATATTTTGGTGAGTTTTGTATCAAACACTCATTAAAAACGCAGTTAAAACAATTAAGTATTAATTAACACACGTGTTACAATACTATAAAGATAATCGTAGACCGTGTTAGTTTTTTTGACAAGATAAGTATGGTATGTTGCCTATAGTCGCTATGAAAGCATAAAAATTAAAAAAAATATATATTTTGAAAGTAAACTAACCTCAAATATTAACATATCGCATATTTAATCAATTTAAACAATTTAGAATCTATTATTACATTGAATTACTTGTTTTTAACCTATAGTTTATGATTTTTAACAAAATAAACACAAACTTAACAATTTATCCGCCAGATGGCGCCACTCAATAAAATACATTATATTCGAATTCAAAATGAATTATGTTTGTTTTCAATGATTCTACCTACAGGTCACAATATGAATCAAGATGGCTGACCTGGTTCCATCCACGAACTTGCCCAAAACACACAGCGTTTTAATGAATAATTCAGCCGCAGTCTAGATGTGCGAAATGGTAAAACAGTTTGGCATGCGCTGTGCGCTGATGCTTAAATTAGTCCGAAACTATTTCGGTGCCGGGGCGGCGAACAGGCCCCACCAAGCCGACCGCCCGCCCGCCCGGTATGGTGCCGCGCGGCGTAAACTGATAGCTGAGCTCTAGTGCTCGCTCAGTCGCCCTGAGACCGTGTGCCACAGACGCGTTCACGGTGAGTTTTCTGCGTCAATCACAAGATTTTTGCGCCACGCTTCGCCATTTTCATTGTGCTTTGCCATCTAACCAACAAATAACCCGTACAATCAGATATTATCCAGCAGGTAAGTGCATATAACGATAACTGCATATCTATTCGACGCATTTGAATCTTAATCTTAAGTCCTGAAGAGTACATTCTACGCAAGTAAAATTAACTTTACTCGAGTGTGGCAGAATGGCACTTTGCCAAAATCTGCTTTAACATTTAAGCGGTGAAGATTAAAGCGGTCTAACATTGTGTAAAGTTTAATAATTAGTTTTATTGTTTTAAATATGCTTATGAAACTTAGTTATTCCTGTTATGTGTAAATTTGGTTGCCTATATCAACGCAGCTGTATGTAAACGAAACGATCAAAATTTTAATGAAAACGAATAAAATGTCTTGTATAAAGTTAAAAATAGCAGTGGGTTGGAATGTTACACGTTTACTACTGCTCTGAGGCAATCTGGTGTGCCGGAAAGTCGGGTAAACTTAAAAATAAAAAAATCGGTTTTCATTACTGAGCATGCGCGTGCTTTGCGATTGCTTTAAACGGATGTATGGAAGCTGAAAAGTTTTTGTAAACACATGAATGCTATTAGGTTACATTTTAATTCGGTCAAATTTTGCAGAAAATGAGTTGTAATTAAAACAAAACCACACAAAAAGAATACTTAATGAGTTAATTATTTTCTGAACTTCAAAATTACTCATAATTTTAGTCATAATTGTTTTCAAATGTTGATATGATGATGAAATGGAAACAATTGAAAAATATTGTACCTAAATGCATTCAAATTCATCAATAGTTCATTGTGAAACATTCCAATGTCAATTCAGCAAATTGTTTTACACAGCAATCACTCATTAACAACAAATTATGCCAAAATACAAATACGAATGAAAGAAACGGAAATTGAAAATTGTTCATTTGACATTAATCCAATGTCACAAAAGTTTGGGTCAAATTTAAATTCTGTTCCAAATGTTTACGCAGTTTGTTTAAAACAATTACAGATTAATTCCACATTCAACAATTGAACTGCATTCAATACGTGATTTGTTTTAAATAAATTGCATATTTATTCGACTTGTTTGAAACATATTGCGAATGTGTAACGACTTTTGAACTTGTGTGTTTTGCGTTCGGTTGTTTTTATTATTCGAACGCGACCCCAATTACATTACGTCGCGGGATTGCTTCATCGCGTATTGCATTATTAGTCACCGCCGTTGGTGTCCTCGTCGCGAAGACCATAAATGGATGCAATTTGCGCTCGCGTTTTATTTTTTCTGCGTGAGATTTGCAGTATCTTCCCATGTGAACACATGTGAGCCGAGTTTTATCGATCGCGAAAAAATCGACTCGTTAAATTAAAAGAAATTGCGAATAAAACTGATTATGATTGCTTATTGCTAAAAATGGCAGTGAATTCACTATGATTGCTAACAAGTCTAACTTGTTACTAGAGCTTAATATAGGCAACAGAAATTTATCTGCAGTGGGAAACCTGTTGCGGCGTGAGTATAGGCAACTTTATTTACAAGTTACATGTCTTAATTGGGTATATATAAAGTGTAACTGTTTGAATTGATCAAAATCTTGTTTTTTGCTGTTATTTTTGACGTATTGCAAGTAAATTATATAAAAACAGAATTAAATTTTGCATTTAATTGCATAAATTTATTTTTATTAACTAAATAATGTTATTTATAAATTATAATTATGATAAACTAACCAAAATTAAATTTTTTGTTTATTTAGTCAATGTGGAATCTAATTATTTAGTTTTTAATGATATTTTAAAATATTTTTTAAAATTAAACAGTTTTAGACTATTTTATGACATTTTACTAATATTAAAGTTAAAAAATAGCAAATTTAGGCATTTTCACAACAATAAAATTTAGTTAACCTCAAAATTCGCTTTAAAACAATAAAAAAAATCATATTTAACTTAATTGATATGCAATATATTATAAATGCCTTTCCTTTTAGTTTTCTTATTCGGTTGACAAGCAAGACTCAACAAGCCATTCACCATGGACGCGATCAAGAAGAAGATGCAAGCGATGAAGCTTGAGAAGGACAACGCATTGGACCGCGCTGTCCAGAACGAGCAGTTGGCCAAGGATGCCAACCTTCGTGCTGAGAAGGTGCGTTTTACCAACATAAACACCCAGTATATCCAAAACTAATGTGAAATTTGTTATTTTGTTGATTAAAGCTCGAAGAAGAGGCTCGCTCTCTCCAGAAGAAGATCCAGAACATTGAAAATGACTTGGATCAGACCCAGGAGCAGCTCACTGCCGTCAACACCAAGCTGGAAGAGAAGGAGAAGGCTCTGCAGACCGTAAGTGCCAATTTAAACTGTTAATATTTTCGCGAGAACCTATTCGATTACATTCCTGGCAGCCATCTTGATTTTCATCGCCATTTCCGCTATTTTGTAAAAATATTTAATATCCTTGATGTTTTATGGTATTCATTGGGTATTTGGTGTCCTTACGGGTTGATCCGCTTGCTGTGCGAATGTTTGAAGGTCATTTGAGAGACTTTCGAGCTTGATGAAGTAAAAATAGTTGCGTAACGGCGTAAAAGCTGTTGTGCCAGTTGTTTTCGAAGAATCTTAAACTTTCCAAGGATTTGAATGGAGTATTAGAAAGTAAGCTGCTGGGTGGGTTGACTTAGCCAGAGCGATGTGTATTATTTTACGGCCTAAAAATAGCCGCCCCCCGCGTTACCGCCGTCCGTGCCGCGGCTCGCCCCGCCAAATATGGACGCGCAGTCGACCGCCGAACGTGCCACGTGACGCAATCGAACACACACCGCATTTATAAATAAAACGATGAAACTATGGTATTCCTTCCATTTTCTGCCAGTTTATGCTCAAAAACAAACCAAAACCAACAATTCCATTAAAAATATATAAATACATCAAAAAACTATTTAGATATTAATATATATGATAAATATCTTATTTTAAAGTGCTTAGGATGACTTAATTGTTTTCTAGGTGGTTAAAATTACGTTAAAATGTACATTTTAATTAATTGTTTTTTGAACCGGCGGCAACAATGCTTGCTTGCTTTCGTGTATGGTTGGTTGCCTACATCTGTGTACAGCGCTTTCTCTCCCACAAACGCATAGGTCGGCTCGCTGTGAGTGAGTCGGACTCGTCGTCGGGCAGTATCGGCCAACATGGCTGCGACGACGGTCATGTGCGCGGCGGGCGCTCGCATAGCGCAGTGAGCGCGATGTCACAGCCGCAGCGCGCGACGCCCGGCGGCGGGCGAAAGCGCGGCCACCAGCACCATCCGCGCAACGCCGGCACGCGCTTGCCGCCTCCACACAACAACCACTGCGCCGACCTAACCTCAACATCGACAACCTGTGGGGCCAACATCAACATCAACAACAACAATCATCAACGCTCGTCCGCAACAGCAACTGCTTTAATTAGTGATACGCGTACACCACTCCAAATACTATGTGATGATAGTATAAGCATAGGTAGTAGTCATAAATTTGGCGGCGGTGGTGGCGGCACGACCAAGTCTTCGAAAGACGCCGCCAACCAGCGCTTACGTACACCGTCCGCATTAGGCAATCTAGATTTAAGCAAGTCAAGCAACGACGGTAACAATGGTAACATAGGTAACACGAGTAACTTAAGTAACATAAGTAATAATGACGAATATAACGATAGTAGTAGCATTACGGTAAACACAAACAACGCTAAACAATCAGATGACGATCATATGATCGACTTCGACGAAGACTTCAATAGGAACAAGCTGCACGAGCACGACAAGTCCAACTCGCCGGACATGTCGAAGATCTTTCGTCCGTCAGCTGACGGCTCAAGTCAGAGCGATCAAGAGGATCCCGAGTACGAAGAACTCGCGCGATTGCGATGTACCTCGGAGCGGACGGAAGTCGTCGCTGAGCGCGAGACACGCCGAAGGAAACGACGATGCGCTGATTATCCCGGACTTGCATTCGGCAGTTCCATCTTTAGCTCGGACACCCTCATGAAGTTCTCCATCATACGCAACGAGCTGCACAATATCATGAATACACAACTCAAGCGGGTATGTTTTATTCACAATCTTCACTAGCATTTAAAGAATATTGGGGGTAACGCACGTTGCTAGGCAACCAACCAACTTGTTTACAACATAATCTATATAAAGAATATTTGATGCATCGAATAGAAGCGAATGCATCATTTCGTGCTGAATGCAGTCGCAGTCTTGAATGATGAATGCACACGCATCGTTAATTTTATTTGTGGCGCGTGTAACTAAACTTATACTTTGTTTACTCGGTGCGCTGTGTTTGGCAGTGTTCAAATGGAAATTTGGCTTTGATTTCAAAGTAGCAGGGGAATTCGCAATTGCGTTGTGGAAATCATAGTATTGTTCACATTTTAACACATATTTTCTAATATTTTTTTCTAAATTTGTTTGAAAATATCTGCTAAACTTTAATCTTTTGATTTTTATTCTCTATTCATAGCTTTTCTTATTTTTCTCATCATTTACATATTTTAATTAATCGTCTATTCATGCTGTTCTATTAAACATCTTTCAATGGTCATCTTTCATAGGCGTTTTTTTCTTCTTCTGTGAACATTTCCGTCGTTACGTCAGTAAATTTCAATGTGTGTTGACTTGTAAGGCGACACGCTTGCATTCATAGTTCAAAAGTTAAGCTCACTTCTTGTTGAACACACACCACGTGCGGCACTCCCAGTTAATTGATTTATTCATTCTTATATGTTGTTATTTATTAGGGAAGTCGTGCGTGATGCTAAGCATCGTCAGAACTTCAAAAATATTTTTAATTTATTTTTAATTAAATTTCCCTGCGAATCTTTTTAATTTTTGCTTGTTTTACGGATTTTAAAGATTAATTCTTTCAATATTATGATCAGACACACTTTACTTTAATTAAAGTTTAAATATTTTGCCACAATTTGCAATATGCGTCACATTTATGCCAACAATTGCTGACGAAATTCACGAATTTAAATATTTCATTATTCATACATAATTTGCAATGTTTCCAAACATTTAACTCTATATCTCCATCAATTTGAGACTTACAAACACATTAATAGCTAAATACCATTGAAATTTAATTATTTAGCCAAATATTTATATATTTGTTGAGATAAGCCTGCATTTGCTATAGATATCATTGTATTAATGGCATTTCTAGCTAACTTACTATTTATTTATTAACTGTACACGTTCGTGTTTGCGAATAATGTGCATTATCATATTAAATTTAATTACGATTAATTAACGCTTAGTACTTGTATTTTCACGCTTTCACACCTGCAAATTGCGACGCGCCACGATTTTTCGCCACGCTCAGCGCAATTTTGCGAATGAATGACATCGGTAACGAGTTGAGAAGTCTTAGAAACGTTGTCTTCACATACGCGTAATCTTGGGCTTTGGTTAATGCGCTGTGTTTGAAGTAGGTTGCAGTGGAACAAAAAGGTTTCACAGTGACAATATTTAATGATGCATGTTCACGTCAAACTATCTCACGGCACAACGCATCGAAATTATTCACATCAGTGGGCTTATTTACTTACTGCACAAAAACAGTACTTATGTTACTTCAGTTATCTGCATAAAACATGATTCTGTTCATTCTGTTGTTTTCAACGAGTTAATGTGCGGCGAGTCGCTGTATTCGTGGGTACCGTTAGTTTCACGCCTCGTTTGTGACGAAAACGTCGCCTTAATTGTTTACATTTGCATTTATTTCTGTTTTTAGTATAGGAGTTTGAAGTTTGTTTGAAGTTCATTTTAATTTGTGTGCACTTGTTGTATTGCTATATGTATATTGGGTTGTCTAATTGAAAGGCTCGACAGAAGTTGTTGGTATTGTTAGTAGATGGCGCTAGCGGTACCGTGTTGGGAAATAAAATCCTACGCGCGTTTCTTCGCCGTAGCCAGATGAACCCACGAACTTTATACGCTCGTAAAACGCATTGATTTGCCATAAATGGTATAAATAGAAATTGATACAAGCAATGCGGTCATCTTTTATGTGTACACGCGACACGAGGAATGTTCTTACGTAGTATAGCGCTGGATAATGTTTTGTTTTGTGGGAACAATGGCGAAAAATGAATCATTGTTTGCGCCCTACTTCAATTATCCGCAGTCGTACGTAATCGTGGAATGATTGAATTAAAGTCGTATTTTGAGGGCATGTATGAGTTGGCCGTGTTGCGGGTGTGGCTGTTTGGTGATAACAAACACGCAATACTCAACCGGCGAAATTCGCAAGCGACCGGTCTCGAGCCGCCGGTGCGCGGTGTTGAAAAATTCGAATCGTTCGCCACATCGCTCCGTTCACAGGTGGCTCGCAGCGGAGCACATGCGCCGGCGCGCCGCGCACTCGTCAGCCATCTTGCAAACGACCGGCTCGCCCAGTTGATTGTCGTCGCGCCGACCGAAAACGCCGTTTGTGCATCCGCTTCGTCGAAAATCTAGCCCCGCGCGCGCTCACCCGCACAAATTCAACCACCGACCGACAAACGTCGCGTACAGTTTCCAGTTAGCGAGGTGTAGTGTGGTAAATATTACGTGCGGCTGCGTTTCTGAGTTCTCGTACACGGCGCACACACATCATCATCATCATGACAACGAATATCAGCCAAGGAGGCTCCCTACTGGATGTGCTCAAGAAGAAGATGCGCCAGACGAAGGAGGAAATGGAACGGTACAAGGACGAGTGCGAGGAGTACAACAAGCGCATGCAGGTCGAAGTTATGAAACGCGAAGAAGTAAGTTATGAATCATCAGCATACCAAACGCCGGTGGTGATGATGTTCATGATACGCCAGCGCCCGAATTATGCATTTGTGATTTAAGGGCTATCCGAATATGTTTAATCGCGCAAGGTGGTTTCCGATGCGCAGCACTGTGTGACACATGTAATGTTGCGCCCGTTGCGCCCAACAGCAACAGAAACGTGGTCAGGCACTCATGCTGGCTCGCCAACGGACCGCGGTGGATGTGTGGTGTAAAAATTACATTCACTACGGAAAGTCTGTTGCATGTCACGCCCGACAGTACACTGCCCATACAGAATAGTCGAAAACAAATGCCTGACAGTGCAGGAATATTATTCTAAACTGTGATTTAAGTACAGGACAAAGTTTAGCGTTTGAGTGTCAGGACATTACGTATGCAATTGACCTTTATTTCTAATTTTACTCGCGTGTTTGCTACGAATTCCTTTTCGGATGACAAATTTGACAAAACCACCCACAACAAGTGCTTCAACACTATTTTGTAAAATAGTAGCGTCATAGTAGCTAAGTATCATTTTGATTGAAATGGTCTGGAACTAATTTCGAGCCTCACGTTATAAATATCCGGTGATTTCATTATTTTATCGTCATTGATGTAAGCGACATCAAACAAGCCGATAACACGAACAACACTGATAACGCGATGATATCAAAGTTATGAAACTAACGTCGATTGATATTGATCCAGTTGGAATATGTGATTAATTCACAATGATGAAAGAAAGCGGAAGGAAGCATGGCCACAACCGAAACATCCGTTGTGCATTACTCTTCATGCGTCAAACGAAACTAACTAAAAGTTTCAAACAAAAATCATGCTGCTGGTGAACATCTGAACGACGACGGGGCCTGTGCGTTTCATTACATATTAATTTCAATTCCACCACAGTCGTCGTGTGCTCGTAAATACAAACAAAACACGAGCAGCGCCAAGTTCATGCTTCAACATGCATACAGCGAACATGTTCATGAATTGAATTGGAGAGCAAAACAATAAGTGCAGCACAGGAGTGCTGCACGCGTGCTCTCGCTTCCATTTCGCTTTAATTTCTTTTTTTTGACGCATAGCGTGGGTGGAGTTGAGTGAGTTTGTGCGTTTGATTGTTGGATCGTTGAATGGATAGGATGTGTAATGTGTTACGCAACAATGGATCTTGGCGGATTATTATCAAATGTTCCAGCACAAGAACACCTGTGGGGAGCTGGCACAAATTGTGCGTGAAATTGACATTCAGGCGCATTTTGTTCAACGTTTTCCACACACATTATCCAAAAAAGTTTAATACGCGTCATTTGCGCACCTTGATAAATGAATAGACATATTTTGAAGTTTCAGAAATTTATACTCAAACTTCCCATCGATTTATTTATCTATATTATTGTGACAGTGATGACTAATACAATTTCATTTTACCTTTTACGGTAACATTTGCTTTATGCTCATAGAAAATCCCACAAAAAGTAATTTATTCGCAGAAAAATTCCTTTAAAAAAAAACTCGTTGGGCATTCAGACAAAATTAAATGCGACGCTACGCGACTTCCATAACAAGTAACAAATCATTTATTTGTTTCACTCGGTTCATAGCATTTACTACGATTAATATAGTTAAATATTAACAATAAGCAAATAAATCTCATCATGTGGGACATCAGGCGACTACATTAAAAGTTAAACAATTTCTCGCTATTTGCGGTTAACACTTTCAACTTGTTAAGAAATGTATATCATGCAGTGAGCATGAATAATTCTGCCTTGCTGACTCATAACAAGTATACTAAAAAAATAAAATAAAAAGATTATGGAAATTTTCACTGAATGTGTTGACGGTTGTTGTTGTTTTTGGTCAATGGCAAGACAGACGCAGAAGCGTTCAGGTCGAATCTTGACCAAAACCTATTGGAATATGTGATTAATTCACAATGATGAAAGAAAGCGGAAGGAAGCATGGCCACAACCGAAACATCCGTTGTGATTACTCTTCATGCGTCAAACGAAACTAACTAAAAGTTTCAAACAAAAATCATGCTGCTGGTGAACATCTGAACGACGACGGGGCCTGTGCGTTTCATTACATATTAATTTCAATTCCACCACAGTCGTCGTGTGCTCGTAAATACAAACAAAACACGAGCAGCCAAGTTCATGCTTCAACATGCATACAGCGTACATGTTCATGAATTGAATTGAAGAGCAAAACAATAAGTGCAGCACAGGAGTGCTGCACGCGTGCTCTCGCTTCCATTTCGCTTTAATTTCTTTTTTTTTGACGCATAGCGTGGGTGGAGTTGAGTGAGTTTGTGCGTTTGATTGTTGGATCGTTGAATGGATAGGATGTGTAATGTGTTACGCAACAATGGATCTTGGCGGATTATTATCAAATGTTCCAGCACAAGAACACCTGTGGGGAGCTGGCACAAATTGTGCGTGAAATTGACATTCAGGCGCATTTTGTTCAACGTTTTCCACACACATTATCCAAAAAACTTAAATACGCACCTTGATAAATGAATAGACATATTTTGAAGTCTCAGAAATTTATACTCAAACTTCCCATCGATTTATTTATCTATATTATTGTGACAGTGATGACTAATACAATTTCATTTTACCTTTTACGGTAACATTTGCTATATGCTCATAGAAAATGCCACAAAAAGTAATTTATTCGTAGAAAAATGTTTTAAAAAAGCTCGTTCAGCATTCAGACCAAAATTAAATACGACGCAACGCGACTTCCATAACAAGTAACAAATCATTTATTTGTTCCACTCGGTTCATAGCATTTACTACGATTAATATAGTTAAACATTAACAATAAGCAAATAAATCTCATCATGTGGGACATCAGGCGACTACATTAAAAGTTAAACAATTTCTCGCTATTTGCGGTTAACACTTTCAACTTGTTAAGAAATGTATATCATGCAGTGAGCATGAATAATTCTGCCTTGCTGACTCATAACAAGTATACTAAAAAATAAAATAAAAAGATTATGGAAATTTTCACTGAATGTGTTGACGGTTGTTGTTGTTTTTTTGGTCAATGGCAAGACAGACGCAGAAGCGTTCAGGTCGAATCTTGACCAAAAACCTATTGGAAATTTACCGTTCGCGTTCGTTCGTTCCAAGGCGGCGAAGAAGAACATTTTGACTTAACTCGTCTGCGCGTCTTTCGTCTTCTTCACACACACTCCCGGGAGATATAGAGAAACGAGTATTCGATATATGTGTAGGCCAAAGAGGTTGTTCAACGCGGCGTGCGAGCGTTCAGTTCGACTGTGTTTCGCGTTTACATGCGAAGCGTTTGTTGGGCGTTTGGTTATTGCTCGCTGCGCTAACGTAACGTTAATAAGCGATAACAGCGGCGGGACCTTCACTCATGCATGACTGAAAGAAAGCATACGAAGAACGAACTGGTTGAGGTGTAGCATTGTGAAGAAATTAACGACGACCTTGTAAGGTCGCAGCGCGCAGAGTTGCATAAAACTTGCGCAATTTCTTTTCTTGATGAGTGCATGCGGATGGAAGTCGTGCTTATTGAAGCATAGCGTAAGCGTATTTTATCACGTGTTATGTTGATGCTACCATTAGGAATGTAATCGAACTGGTATTTGATAAAAATCGAAAGTGTGTGCTTAATTCTATTACCTACCTATGAGACTTGTTTGGTTTGCAAATTCATGTGACGTGTTTTTGTTTGCAGGCTGAGTCCGAAGTCGCCGCCCTCAACCGTCGTATTCAGCTCTTGGAGGAGGACTTGGAACGTTCTGAGGAGCGTCTGGCCACCGCCACCGCTAAGTTGGCTGAAGCCTCCCAGGCCGCCGACGAGAGCGAACGGTCAGTTTTTATACACTATCATCCATACGTGTATAAATTACTCTTCGGATAATCCGGCAACTTCTGCACGAAGTTGTTTTTTTCGTTTTCGTTTCTGACGATTCGACGATTAGTTATTTTATTTTCAAGTCGGTTAGGTTACGTGCGATGCCACCCGATGTTTGTTGATGACCTGAATTTTTTCGAAACAACTTGCTGCGCGTTGCACTTAAAGAGAATGCTCGAATAAGAAATGATAAAACGCAGCATATACACAAATGGTATTGATTAAAGTTCAATTAGACTGGAATGCTTAATGTTTACCATTCACTGCTCTACGAGTTCAACTCGTAAATCACTAAATCACGTTCGTTGATGAATTAATTGAAAATTGAAATGTAAACCGGGTGGCAGCGCATGCTGTTAATTGAATCTTCTCACTGTTGATCGTGTTAATTTCTTCACATATACAAAGGATGATTTTATTATTAGGATACGCAAAGCGTTAGAAAATAGGACTAACATGGAGGACGATCGAGTGGCCCTTTTGGAGACCCAGCTAGCGCAGGCTAAACTAATTGCTGAGGAGGCCGATAAAAAATACGAAGAGGTATATTATTACTCAACAATATTCAATTTCTCGAATGTGCTACGCGATTAGACTGTGTTAGGACTGAGGACACAAGTATATGGTCCTTGTAGGGTGATTAGGCGTTTCTTGATTTTCTTTACAGCGCTTCAACGACCCGGCCGGCACATGATGATGATTCTCAGTTCTTGTTACTCTTTTGCATTGTGTTTTTCTGCGAGAGGTAGAAATTTGCATGAAACAAGGTCGCGACGTGGAACGTGAACAATTGCGTTGAAGTTAAATTCTTATCGCATTACTCATAAAAATACGACTTGCGTAGAGTCGTATTTAATACCGCGCGCGGTCAGAATGTGAACAGATTAAGGTGTTGCATACAATTGGCTTTTTTGCAGTGTAACACCTTAAAATGTGATTTTTTAAATGGTTCATGCTAAATTACTACCTACTCTCACATTTACCGATAAGAACAAGACAAGTGCGTAGAAATGTGATGTAAAACTGCTTTCCTATATTGTCTAGTGCCCGCAAGGTGCTTGAAAACCGCGCCTTGGCCGATGAAGAGCGCATGGACGCGCTGGAAAACCAGCTGAAGGAGGCCCGTTTCCTCGCTGAGGAAGCCGACAAAAAATACGATGAGGTCCAGACTTAGCGTTGTTTACTTAATCTCTATTTTACCACATGCTACTACTATTCGTTTTTGTTACCTTGTTTTCTGACCTACCTGAGAGTGGTGTACACACTAATTCGTCTCTCAAAGCTGCTACCAAAAATACTATGCAATGATAATGCGAGATATTGATGCGTACTAACTCTTACTTGCGGTTGGCAATTGTTGCGCGACGTTACCGATACGACTCAACGACGTTTTAAATAGACAGAAAAAAAACTTATTTAAAGCGAAAATTACACGAAATATATATGCTCCTAACGGGATTGGGAGACCATGGAACTTAGTATTAAGTATCGAGACACATGTTATTTGTTAATATTATTAATACAGACGAGTAAATTTTGTTACTAATTTCATAGATAGATATTAACGCAGTAAGTAAAAGTGATATGTGTTTTGTAACTTTAATTTGTTAAACGAGACAGTTATTGTTACATGTGCCTAATGTAAATGCTGATTACAACAACGGTGCCTTAAAAGCCTTAAAAATTATTATTAGTACAACGGGAGTGCGGTAAAACAAGTGTCTTGTAATCGGTTAACTAACAGTTTTCGAACTTTGGACAGACGGAAATCTCATCCAAAAGCTTTATCTCAACGGTGACATTAAACAGAAGTACGTTCCATGGTCAAGTAAATTGAAATTTATGCCTAGTTTAGAAATAAGCGGTTAAATAATTGCATATGTTGCATTTGTGTAAAACAACAGTAAGAAAACAGGTTGCAACAAGACGAATAACGACAAAAAAACATGTAGTCATTACATAACAACGCATGTGTTCATGTTTTAATTAATGTTTTGTTTCAGTTTGACGATTGTGATAGCGCTGAAATTACAAACGATTACTTTTAACAATTGGCAGATAGTTTAATAATCAGTGTTTCCGAGTGTTTTATGTACTAACGCACTGTCGGTGTGTGATGAAAAGCTAATTAATCATGTTTTTATCATAACTTTAGTTTTACTATTAATTCAGATGTTTGAATGTTCAAGTGTGGAGCCGAATTTTTTATTGGTAATTGAAAGTATTCAATTTAGAAATTTCACTGATAAGCTCTGCATTTTAACACATAATTGAATGATTATCGTTAAGACGTGAACATTGTTTGCGGTCTGGTGTTTCTTGAATTAAACGAATGAATACTTGCATAGGTCGCCCGTAAATTGGCCATGGTTGAGGCTGATTTGGAGAGAGCCGAAGAGCGCGCCGAAGCCGGTGAAAAGTATGTTACTCGAATCTTAAATTGGAATGATTCGTTTTGCTCGGCATGCGTTTTGCTCTGATGGCGCTATCATTGTGTTCCAGTGTTTTAATAATACGAGTACACTAAATGCTCAATGCAAAACAATTTAGCTAATTATTTGATTGATTTTTTTTCTGTGTGTAAGATTATAATTTTTGTGTTTTGATTTTATGAGACTTATGTATTAATCGCTTGTGTTTTATTTTTGCACGATTTGTTTAATCGCGTATCGGCTAGGTTGCCCGCAAATTGGTGCTCATGGAGGCGGATTTAGAAAGGGCCGAAGAGCGAGCCGAACTTAGCGACAGGTTGGTGCGCTTTGCATGCTATTTGTTTTTATTTCTATATCAAATACTTGATTGCATGCTGATGCGAAACGTCTTCATCAATGTGATGACTAATATGTTCTTGTAATTTTGCAGCAAGATCGTAGAACTTGAGGAGGAACTCCGCGTCGTCGGCAACAACCTCAAATCCCTTGAAGTTTCTGAAGAAAAGGTAAAAAATGATTTGAGTCATTGTTTGCTACATGAGACAAGTATATTCTCATGTACTCGTACATATATCAATTCGCAGGCGTAATTTTATGCAGATTACAATTGAACAAGGTTACGGCAAAGCAATCAACGTGAGTCTAATTGTTTTGTTCACAATATGAGAACAAAATAATTACACTCGAATTTGTTTTAATTGATTTAATTTCGTTTAACTTAATTACTTAGGTTCTCCTGGGTTTATTCTTGATGATAAAATTTTTGTTTCATTTGTTATATTATTATTTAGGCCAACCAACGTGAGGAAGAGTACAAGAACCAAATCAAGAACCTTACCACTCGCCTAAAGGAGGTATTTAGACCGTTCACGCGTCTAACTAACCATCCTGTTTTTAGAGTGTGTTTGGATTTGTGCTGATGATAATCACGATACTAATAAATCGTGATAATCATTTTTAGTTTTCTAAGTTTGTTGTTCAATGCGCATTACGTAACCGCCCAACTAATACATTTCGATTTTTTGTTGTTGTTTTGTGGAATTAATCACTAATAGGCGACGATACGAGAGGAGGAATACATGGCGAGCATTAAAACGCTCAGCGGCCAACTGAGAGAGGTAAACCTGACGAAAATCTGCGGAATGCATTTTGTGTCTCTTAAGTTCTAGTTCTAGTCGCATCCTGCCACTCTGACCTGTTTTTTATTTTGTTGTTGTTAATGATTATAACAAGATACACACTCATTTCGGATCGACTTTGGTGAAGTGAATGCAACAAAACGCTACTTACCATTTCTGGTAGAGGACTATCGTAATCAGACTATCTGTTACACTCGCATGATGTTTGTTTTATTTTTTATTCAGGCGTCCGCCACGAGAGACTCAAACGAAGATAAGATTAAAGTAATGGCTGACAAATTGCGCGAAGTAAGTTTACGTTCAAACACATTTTACCGAGGGATTTCGGGAATCACATTATCACATTATGTGCAAAACACAAATTCTATTTATATTTATCTCACACCCAGTATTAGTATATTAGTTATATTTTCCATTCCTATGCTTCGCAAATCTCTATATTGTTCATATCTTACCAGGTGGTTGGGTATTCTTTGTAAGTATATTGCGTTCTGTGGGTTTCTTGCATGCTGCTTGTTATCCTAAACTCAAAACTAGTTTGTTTGTTTGGATTGAAATTTGAATTAATGCACATTAATCACAATGTCGAATCGATCATTCTCTGCTTATTGCTTGTAATATCGGTGAACGATCGATTCGACAAACTTGGACCACTTGACAATGTAAACTAATAAATTCTGTATAATTTTAGGCTGAAGCCCGCGCTGAATTCGCCGAACGTTCCGTTCAAAAACTCCAGAAGGAGGTCGACAGGCTCGAAGGTATAATTTGTTACTTTGACATCTTACGAATCAATCTCTTTGGAAGACACGTCGAGTTTTATGTCGTTTTAGTTGATAATATTTTAATTTTACTAAAGCGTGATATTTTTTCGTTTTGCTTGCTTGACTTAACACAATTCACCCACTTACAGATGACCTCGTAGGGGAAAAGCAGAAGAGCAAACTGTTAGAGGACGAGATGGAAGCCACTATGAACGACATTGCAAACATGTAGAAGCGCACGTCGATTGAAAAAAACGATTCATTTCTTTGCACGAAAACAATGACGAGCAAACTGATTCGAACACCAGCACGAATCGCACGACATAACGACCACGAAAATTGTTTACGTTCTTGTTTATTTTTTTATTTTTTAGCCACGCGTTTGTCCGGAACATGCGCTCCCGTTTTTGTTGTTTGAAGAAATGAACGGATAACTATTTACACAAAATATTTATAAAATTGAGGCAAAACTGTATTTCTCTCTCTCTTTTAAGTGCAGCCCTAATTATTAAGCTAAAACACACACAGAACATTCAGGGCTATTTATATCTACAGTTATTTATTATATTATTAATATAACATCCAGCAAACAACACAGACACACACAGAGTAGGTGCTTCAGCTTTCTTCCAAAAATAAGTTTCATGAGAAGCGCAACACTCAAGCACAGAGTGTTGATTTCTCAGCGTTTGTAAACTTGCGACAATAACTTTGCACCCGATCGAAAGTAGCATTAGATCGATGAGTATGGTCCAACACTGCCATAATAAATCAATAATGATTGATGAATATTCTACATTCCGCAGCTGCTTCCATAAACGTTCCATTTAAGGACCAAAACTTCATTTCCATTAATTAAGTTATCATGGATAGTCAAAGCATAGCATGTCCTAATGCGGCGCTAAAGTGTAATAAATTGAATTGGTTATTAATTTCGTTTTCACTTTTCGGATAAATAATTTGTAAATTATGTTGGTAATAAAAATGAAGCGAACTAAGGCTTTCTACGAATGTTTATGAAGCATAAGCAAACATGCATTACCTTATTTTATAAACAATGAGTTCATAATCAGCATTTATAATTACACATTCATAAGTTGCCTCTGGTGTCAGAGGCAGACTCTATTAAACTATCAAAGAAGTAAATGGCAAGAGGAAAATATAGTCCTGTTTATATTTTATATAATTATTATTTCTAATTTCTATATTATGTATTTTTAGCGTAAAGAAATTACTAATTATGGTTACATTATAAAGATGATTTTAATAGCCAAATACGTTTGATTTCAATCATATTTATACGATCGTCCAAGTTTGCTCGGCATTAATTATGGTTACTGCATGCAGTTTTGATGTGTTTTTTGTATTATTCGTTTGGCTGCGTTTTGTTGTGTGATGACTGCGTGTCACATTTCGAACACGTCTCCGTTCGATTTCAGACGACCTCGTCGCCGAGAAGGAGCGCTACAAGGAGATTGGCGACGACTTGGACACCGCCTTCGTCGAGCTCATCTTGTAAATTGTGCACCCGCCAACCAGTTATCGCAACATCCACACACCTATTTATTGCAATGTATTGATTACCGAATACCATTTTTCACATGTGTATATAGTATATCGCGACTTGTTATATGTTCTTGCGAATGCACCAGGTTTTCAGCGACTCACCACCAACAACTCTACTTAGGACAGCGCGCAACAACAATAAATGCAATCAAATATTATATTTTACATTAATTCTTATTTGTATTTGTGTTACAATTATAATTAATTTATTACAACGTGTATGAAATATGCACCAGAATAATAACTATCACTAAGTAGCTGTTACATTTATGTGATATAATTTTATTTGAATTTTGTTTCCTGAAATCAGTTTTAGTTCTTTTGTTACTTTTTTTGGTAAGTTTAGTTTTGATTTTAAATTCAATTAAGTTGCAGAATCGATTTAATATTTAACTCGGAATGCCTGTATTAACACACTAACATGGAAATGTTTGATTTGATTTTTAGATGATTTGCTTGAGGAGAAGAACAACTATAAAGCGATCGCCGACGAGATGAATCAAACTATGGCCGACCTAGCCGGTTACTAATAAGTTGAAAGCCCTGCTTCACTAACACCTGAATTAACGACTTCCCGAACTTGATTAGCAATGTTCTACTATTTGCCGAAGAGGACAAGTCGAGGAATCGCCGAGCGATTTAGAAACGAAAATAACTCCATAACTATAATTACGATTAGATTTTTATGCATTTTATGTGGGAACCAAGAAGCGCGAGAGAGAGAATGTTTACTTAACACTGCCGATTCATGATTCCGTGCGCTTTCGCCTTCCGCTTTAGTTGTTTAAGGGTAGATCATACGGATTGCTTTAAAATCAGCACTTTTTCTTCTGATTTTCTTTTTTGCCTCTTGGAATTGCCATTGTTCAGTGTTTGTTGGATCCATCACCAATATCAAGATTTTTACATCATTGTTTTTCTTTCATGGACAAATTTTGTGGCATTTACTGTAGTTGAAGAGTTTTTATAAGAGATGTCGCTCACTGTCACGTTGTTCACATAAATCTAATGCAAACTTGTGGGAAATTGAAGATTTCTAAAATTAATAAATATTTGAATTGTGCTTCAATATTTGTTTATAATTAGAGGTTGATTATTAATATTTTAGGTATAATGTTGGATTTTAAGGATATTAACTTACAAAACTTTACATTGGGAAAGTTTCTGGCTAAAGAGTAACACAAGCATAAAATATTTCAATTTTCAATGTTTACTTCATAATACGCTACATATTTTGGTAACAAATCATTTATTTCTTATTTTTCACAAGTTTTAACTCTGGTATTCCTTTCTGTTTTAGTATCTTATTACTACCACCAAAATACTTTTGTAAAACCTTAGGAATTTCAATTGTACCATTATTATTTTGAAAATTCTCTACTATAGCTATTAACATTCTTGGTACCGCGCACGCTGTCCCATTGATGGTGTGCAAGTGTCGTGTTTGTCCATCCGATGCCTTGTACTTGATGCCCAAACGCCTCGATTGATAATCCGTGCAATTACTGCAACTCGATATCTCACCATACATATTCCTTCCTGGCATCCAAGCTTCAATATCATATTTTCTATACGCCGGTGCTCCGAGTTCATGGGCTGGCATGTCCAATGTTTTATAATGCAAACCAAGTGATTCAAAATTATTTTCCTCTAGTTGGCGAAATTCTTCTAAAGTTTCGTCTGATTTTGATGGTTCAACCAGTGCAAACATTTCCACTTTGGTAAATTGATGAACTCTTTAAGTAGTAATTAAATATTATTAGGAATAATGATATATTGAAGTCAATATTATACCTAAATATTCCTCGTTCTTCGGCAATACTTGAAGCTTCCGCTCGGAAACAACGACTCACAGCAGCTACTTTCATTGGTAATTTATCAGCAGGAAATACTTTGTTACTAAAGTATCCAGCTAGAGCCATTTCAGATGTGCCTGACAGACACAAATCACCTCCATGTTTTTCATAATCTAATGAATAAACCTGAAAGTATTAAGTCTCAAAAATATAAAAAGCATAATAGATATTTTATACTTGTGTTCTTTCCCCTTCTGTATTCATCCCACAACTCTCAATAATTCGTCTATCTAGAATGTCAGGTACTGAAACCAGCTTAAAACCATTTTTCAGTAAAGTATTTAGTGAAAACTTAATTAGTGCAGTTTCCAATGCTGCTAAATCACCATACAAGTAATAACTTCTTGAGCCTGTTAAGGTGCCTAGTTGGTCAGTTCTTGCCAATTGCATTCTCTTTGTTATTTCATGAAAATCCCTTGGTTTAAAGTCAAATTGTCTTGGTTTGCCTACAGTTCTTAAAACTTTTGGTTCTTCAAATTGTGCATTGGGATGTGTTTTATTTGGTAGACTTAACATTGCCTTCAATAGTTTTTCTTGAATTTTAGTTTTTCAGATTGTGGGGCAATGGATAATTCTTTATTGTACTCATGAACTAAATTTATATCACCAATACCTTTTCGATCATTGATATTTTTTGATATTTCATCAAAGTTTTTGGCATTGCAAATGTATTCAACATCTAATTCTGGTTGACATGCATTGTAGATTAGACGAATGGAAGAAAAACTTTTACTTGATGATAATACTCCTCTTGTAAACATTTTAATTATTTTTTGCCTCAATTTTTTTCAAATCACATAAGAACTAAAAGGAAGGTTAAATCAGGAGAAGTAAAACTAGCGAGATATATTGTAGTATCCCCACCGTTTTAACGGTGTTGCCACTTCCAATTCCATACAAATGCACTTTAATTTTGTTTAATGCCTACATACAACATTTATTAACTTATGTTCTTGTATGCATCGGTTTATGTGTTTACATATGTGTTCTATGCATTTATTCAACTATTCTTACTATAAAATTAGGTGTAAAATAATATTCTAAAACTAAACCAACTTCTTATGCAAATCGAAATTAAGTACACTATTATTTAATAATTACAGATATCAAGTTTAATAAAGTAGTTCATCGGTTTATTGAACTTAATTCATTTTATGATGAAACTTGATTGCGTTCTTGTGCTGGCAAGAACGATTGACATATCCGCAATTAACAAATTACATAATTGTTTATTACCACAAAATGCAATTTTCTAAAATGGTCTAAACTTCACTATTATCAAATAAAACTTGCTATATGCCTTAACCGAACGACTTCTGAATTACCAATGTGTTTTTTTTTTTCAAATCAAAATTAGTTGCCATCTCGGCAATAATGAGATAATAAGCAGTCAATCATATATTCTATTATATCATCAAAGATCGCGCCGCTGATACATTGATGTCGTTGCCGTGGTCGATTAAAACCGAAAAGTGAAAGTGGTTTTTGAAAACGCGAATCGGGTAGATCGAGTTGTTTGTTGTTTGGCACATAAAGTGGTCTCTTTTTTTATGCGTGCGCTCTCAACCCGTCCAATGGGTCAAACTTTTGAAAAGCTCTTCATTAAACATTTAACGAGTCTCGAGAGCGGCGCAGTCAAAGGCGCGATTCGTTCCAGTACAGAGTAACGTCTGCAAAATAAAAATGATTTGTTTTCGATTTTGCGTGTTGGCCGTTTTGGTACTTGGAGCTTCGGCGTTCCCAGACGGTGCACCGATTGATGCGTGCGTGAAACCACGCACAAATCAACCAAATCATGGTAGGGCCAGGTCACAGGCACCAGAAAGCAGCCCATATCAGATTTTGGCATCTGGAAATGTGTATGGACCAGGATCACAAATTCAAGGTATAAATTTATTAAGTTTTGTTTTTTAAAAATTTAAGTTTCTGGTCTAACGTTAATATAAAAATTCTAGTAACCATCCAAGGAAGAGACACTTTCAAAGGTTTCCTTATTCAGGCGCGTGACGCCGTGACCAATGAATGGATCGGAGGATGGTTGGAGGGTCCTAACTTCAAAATCCACCCTGAATGCAGTGCTGTTACTCACGCTGATCCCAAGGAAAAACAGCAGGCTACTTTTATTTGGCAAGCACCACAACACATTTCCCAAGGCTCGGTTTATTTCACGTACGTTCATTTTTATTTTACAATGCGTATTACAATTATTTCATTCTTTATATTTCTATCGATTGCAACAACACACAATTACAAATCTATGTAGTTGGCACTGTGTAGTTTGATTAATAAGTTTATCTCATATTTTCAGTGGAACAGTGCTCAAGGAGTACAGCACTTTTTGGTCAGACTTAGTCAGCCAAGTTGCAGCGAAATAAACATCACAATGTTACAGTGTTAATTTAAAGAGCAATACTGGTTTCTTTCGTAAGTTCTGCACGATTGCGTCGAAATGAATTTATACAAAAATCGAGAGAATACTCTTACGCAACACACATAAATCAGTCATGACATCAATTCACGCTTACCAGTGTTTATATTATATACGTATTACGACAGTAACATTATAGTTTAAATAAATTGTTTTTTTAGTAAGCTTTTGTTTTTACTTAATATGTATTACTCTTGATGGCGCATACAGTGCTGTTTTTAAGTAATGGGTATAAGCCTGGGGTATCAATTAATTTACTTCTAATTTAATTAATTTACTAATAATGCATAATTTACTTATCTATGTGTGTGATATAATCATTCGAAAGGAGTAAACTCCAATCGTGTGTCGAAGCTGACACACACGCACACTTTTTTTATGTTGTTCAAATCTTGCAACGTCTGCCTGTGTGTTTCCACAGTTCACGTCTTGGTATGGGTGAATATATGTTTCAACTTTATTTTTAAATTCAATGTTTTACTTTCTTTCCCTAAATAAAGTAAAATATGGTACAATTTGATAATATTAATTTTATGAGTTTTTCATGATTTTTGTAAGATTTCGACTTTATCTCGGGAATCGGTAATGCAATTTCAAGAATTCTTATTATAACTTATCGACGGACTATTCGACATCGCACAAGAATCGCTCAAACTCTTACATGAACTTGTGTGTTCTCGTTGTATATATACGATTCAATTGATTTTTGCCCTTTATTTTGAATTTTTTATTCTCTGAGTTGGCCATCCTGCATGCGACATTGTTTGTTGCAAATAGTGTGCGTTTTACTGTAGCGTGCGCGCAGGTGCGTCTGTCGTGCGCGTCGTGCGCTATCGCTGATTGCGCTGCGTGGTGCACTCAGCGCAGTTTTGTGCCGGTCGTTGGTTGTGTTGTACGTGTTTCTCGAGGCGGTTATCATATCATTTTGAGTTTGTAATTTGGTAAATCGCGTATATATCGGTTGTTCATCGACTGCATTTAGTTATTATTGACTTGTATAGCGTTTTATTAGTAGATAATCGGGTGTCGCATATGCAAAATGTTTAATTTTCTTTGCGTTCGTTGTGCGTATTGCAAGAATGACTGCGTGCTATTAACTTGTTTACACCGCGCGCTCGCGAGTTATAGGTAGCATGAATCTGCAACGTCTTACAACGTTTATTGTGATATTATTTGGACAGTGGATTGAAACATGGACAATATTCTGCGTCGAAACGGCGAAAGAACGGTAAAGTGCAGACTTTCTTGATTTTAATTCAACTATTTGTGCATGCATTGTTTTAGAAGTGTTATTCATACCCGGTGAGTTAAGTGTTTGCTAACGCCGGGTTAGGCCGATATCTTATCTTGTTATTGTTGTGAACAGACTTTTCGGTAGTATTATTGTATTTAAATGTGATTTATTTTTAGTTCTTGGTGAATTCAGCGACAAATATTTTCCCGAGGATCATCTTTTTGCTACCAGGACTTGCGTCCGTATTGTCCATGATCCAGAAACCTTCACGCACCGCGGGAAAGAATGGTAAAGCGCACATTTTCATTGTTTTTGTTTATTAAAATTCCATTTAGTTCATACGCGGCAGTTAACTTAGTATTACATTAAATTTTTATTACAATATCAAATTTAATTTTAGAATTTGGATCGTAAAACACCCACTGATGCATACTGTGGTGGTAAATACACTCGAGAATCGTCTGCCATTCGATGTGATCGGATATTATTGGGTTTGTTACGATTTCAACCAAAGGGACACCTACCAGCCTGGTGGAGGGCAGCTGCGTTTCCACGGGATGCGCTACCTCTATAATTTGTCGCTTATCTTGCAATCACTTCGCCCACACATTATTTTTCAAACCAGTACAATTAATGCACACAAGGAAGGGCACAAAACAACGTCCCGATTTTTAAACCACGAACGCATTCTTCACTTATAATTAGAATTGTATATATTTAGGTACCTTTGACATTAACGTTGATGAATGCATGTGGAATAACATGCATTGTAAACTCTTTTTAACGATACTGCCTAAGATCTAAGAAGAGTTGATTTAATGGCGGATTTTACTCATTCAGCCGTTTGCCACAAAACGTGTACATATTTCAATGTCATTATAAAAAAGGTATTCAAGAGTTTACATTGCATTTCACTGTTAATCGCTTCACTAGGTTTAATGTATTGTATTATTGCTTGTCGGGCTAATGTGACAAGTTTGCATTTTATTTGTTGGTATTGTAAATAAGTTTGGTAGTTGCTGCACCGTTGTTATCTAGCTTCGACTCGCGTACGGGGCGTCTCTAGAGTTGTCAAATTAAACTCTCTGTGGGGTTTTATTAGTTTGTTGCAGGAATTCGACCTGCAACCCGCGAAAATTTGCATAAAGAGTAATTTTTCACGCTTCTCCGTGAAATGTTTGTATTTTTTCGGGTTTTCACGCCATCTAAGTGACTCAGTAACTTTACGGCGGCGAAGAAAGATGCGGAATTAAATTCTCCGTCGGGATGTATTTGTTAGCGGTAGAAGTGACTCGATTCAGCGCACCTTACGAGAGTAGCGGTAGAAGTGACTCGTGTTCAGGGCACCGTATGAACCCGCCAGTTTGCATAAAAGGGTATTTTTTTCACTCCTTTTCGTGAAATTTTTGTATTTTTTGATGGCTCACTACCTTAAGCGCGGCGTCTAGTGATGCGGAATTAAATTCTCCGTCGGGTGATATATGTTTGTTGCAGGAATTCGCTCTGCAATCCACGAAAATTGGCATTAAAATTGATTATTTCACTCTTTTTTTCTGTAAATTGCAATTGTTAGCACTTTTAGTCGCGTTTTTCTATCATTTACCTCATTAAATTAAATTATTTAAGATATCCATCTGATAGAGAATTTTTCAATCTTCCATAATCTGCAATTTGTTGGTTACTACCTCTTTTAGTTTGGAAGATGTTCGCTATTGAAAATAATCGATAAAAATTATCAAGGGGGGGGTCTTGACAATTTTTTTAATGGGAATTCAAATTTTGTCTCTTAAATTGCTAATTTAACCAGCTTATTTTATAGAGAATTGCCGGTAGATTAAGACGCTGCGATTCGATCCTAATTAGGTTTTTTTTAGTTACGTGACTAAGGAATACATGCCGACGGACCGCAGATTGTTACTTTCTTGATAATATTTGTGCGTTACGTTAAAATGAAATATCTTGCATTCTCAAATACTGTGTGCCTTAAAATTCCTGATTATCACGTTATCAATTATTATTTATTAAATTCGAATTAATTTTTGGTCGCAGTCAAATTTATTCACCTACAAGCTGTATATTTTTATTTTGAATGATATTTAATCAAATACAGTGTAATATAATGACGAATATGATGCGCGGAAAGTAAATTGGCTTGGTATTTATTCAAACTATTCCTAAAATCAAAAATTATTTTAGATATAAAACTAGTGACCGCATGAGACCTCGAACAACACGCATTTTTATCTAAAACTCTTCGAATAGAGCATAGATTGCGCTAGGATGCACAAAATTGAATAATATTAAGTCAGGTGATTTCTCAGCTTATGTTTGCATGTGTCTGTTAGTGGCACTCGTATACGTGTGAGCTCGCGCTGCATGCTGCATGCAATACTATTTGCACGTTCTTTTCTGCTTCATAAACTTTCATAATCTTTGATCGGCTGGTCCTAGCGCTCTTAGTTTCCATTTGTCCTTATGAATTATTTCAATTATTTCTCTTAGATTTCCACTTTAACTAGCTTAGCTAATAGAGAATGGTAGTCACTTCTACCACTACCTTTGTACGGTATCCTAAATGCGAGTCACTTCTACCGTCACCCCCTACGGTGCTCTGAATACAAGTCACTTCTACCGCTACCTTCGTAGATTATAAAACATTTTTTATTGCTTTTTATTTAAATTTTTGTTCTATAAATTTTTTAATAGAACAAGATAATAAAATATATTAAGTTCAAATATTGTCGCTAAAAGTGCAAATAGGAGAGATTTTTCGTGTTTTTCCCAGATTTTTTGTAAAATCTTTCATTAATTTTAATAATCTAAATTACTGGATTACTACCTGTATCATATAGAGATGTCACTGGCATGAACTAAAAATCATAAAATAGAATTGTATTGTTTATTTCTATATTTATCGGCAAACGTGGGCATTCGGCACGAGACTTGTGTTTGTTTTGAACACAATTTACTTTCTTATCGCTTTCGCCGCGTGGAATGCATTGCATGAGATTCACGAGTGTCGTCGTTGCAATCTCCTCACGCCGCGTGCAGCATATTCTAGTTTAGTTTAGATCACATGTATTGTGTCTATTGTCAACGACGCACCAGAATTGCGCATCTCTTACTTTCTTATTGTTGTTTGTCGCGTCGTTGTTTGCTCGGCTACGGCATGCGCTATCAATGATTAGCAGTCAGTTTCGTACCGGTCGCTGGTAAGTTTAGACGTGTTTTGTGCGATTCGCATAGTTCGTTCGGACTTCTGCTTTCTAAATTTGCATTTTATTCGATCATCAATCGACAACTTAATTTACATTATTGTACAAAAGTGGAAGATACTTGATTGCGTCTCGTATCGTCGGTCTCGAAATGAATCGCCCCAACGTAGATTTATTCATCATTATCCTTGTGTAAGTAACTTTTAATTCAACAACACACATCGTATTTTTTATTATTTATGAATATATTATTGTTAAATCTTATGAAATGTTTCAACTTCTTTTTTAATTTCAGCACGTGCTGTGCCTTGGTAACTGATGCGCACAATTCGTAAGTTTTTAATTCAATTCTCGTATATTTCATTTTAATGTACCCGACAAATTCATTGCCTCATTACGTATCTCAATATGGCCGCGAAAGTTGGCGCATTCTTCGATGTTTTCAAGACTTGTGTTGGAAAATGGGGCATATCTTGGGGACAATTTAGGGCATTTGCACGTATTTTTTAATTATTTTAAAGTTTCATCGTGGAAATTGGGTCATATCTCGGGAACACCATGGTGTATTTGTACGCTTTTTACTTCTAATAGGGCGAGAATCAATCAATATTCGCATTCCCAGAAACAATTTGCGAAGTACCTTAAAATAGCTATGGAAAGTTCACTTTTTTAAATTTGTTAAAAGCACTACGCGGCTAGAGATACGAAATTAAATTCTCCATCGGGTGGTATTTATTTGTTGCAGGAATTTGACCTGCACCTGCAAAAATTTGTTTAAAAGGGTGATTTTTTTACACCTTTTTCTTGAAATGTTTGTGTTTATTCGGGTTTGCACGCAACTTTGGCGGTTCAGATACTTTAACGCGGCTCGTAGAGATGCGGACGTACATTCTCCGTCAGGTGGTATTTAATTGTGGCAGGAATTCAACCTGCAACCCCCAAAAATTTGCATATAAGTGTAATTTTTCAACCTTTTTCGTGAATGTTAGTGTTTTTTTTGGTTTGCACGCGATCTAGGCGGCGTAGTAACTTCATCGGGGCGTCTAGAGATGCGGAAGTATGTTCTCCGTCGGGTGGTATTTAAGGCTCCCCGCACACTACAAACTTTTTATCGGCCGATAGTTTGGTCGGGCTTATAATCAGTATGAAGATGTATGCAAGTCCGCATTCTACAACGATTTTGTATCGGCCGATAAACAAGTTTGATGGGCTACCCAACTGCGTTCAAACTAAACTATCGGCCAACCAGGCCAACTATCGGCCGACTGCGATATCAGTATGGAGCTCGTCGCAAGCGCGCACACCTACCGATTGTTTAGTCGGCCGACTTGATCAATTTAGTTCGCTCAGAGTATTGGTGCAGTCGGCCGACTGTTGTCTAGTGTGCGCACTCACCACAAACCCAACTGTTCAGTTGGCGTAGTGTGCGCGCTCACAGCCCAACCCGATCAAAATATCGGCCGATAAAAAGTTTGTAGTGTGCGGGGAGCCTAAATCTGACAGAATTTCTACCTGCAACCTGTGAACCAACCTTACATATAAATGTAATTTTTCAACCTTTTTTCGTGAAATGTTTGTGTTTTTTGTGTTAACTCGCGATCTAAGCCGCGTCGTAACTTCAGCAGGGCTTCTAGAGATGCAGAATTAAATTCTCCGTCGGGTGGTACTTAAATCTTGCAGGATTTCTACCTGCAACCCTCGAAACTTTGCATATAAATGTAATTTTTCATCCATTTTTCGTGAAATATTTGTGTTTTTTTTTTGGGTTAGCTCGCGATCTAAGCGACGTAGTAACTTCAGCAGGGCTTCTAGAGATGGGGAATTAAATTCTACGTCGGTGGTATTTAAATATTGCAGGAATTCTACCTAAAACCCGAGAAAATTTGTATATAACTATAATTTTTCAACCCTTTTTGTGAAATGTTTGTGTTTTTTTGGGTTTGCACGCGATCTAGGCGGCGTAGTAACTCCAACGGGGCTTTTAGAAATGCGGAATTAAATTCTACGTCGGTGGTATTTAAATGTTGCAGGATTTCTACCTGCAACCCGCGAAAATTTGCATATATGTGTAATTTTTCATCCCTTTCTCGTGTAATGTTTGTGTTTTTTCGGGTTTGCACGCGATCTAGACGGAGTAGTAACTTCATCGGGGCATCTAAAGATGCGGAATTAAATTCTCCGTCGGCTGGTATTTAAATCTTGCAGGAATTCTTCCTGCAACCTGCAAAAATTTGCATATAAGTGTCATTTTTCAACCCTTTTTCGTGAAATGTTTGTGTTTTTTCGGGTTGGCACACGATCTAGGCGGCGTAGTAACTTCATCGGGGCGTCTAGAGATGCGGAATTAAATTCTCCGACGGCTGGTATTTAATTGTTGCAGGAATTCGACCTGTAACCCCCGAACATTTGCATATAATGTAATTTTTCAACCCTTTTTCGTGAAATATTTGTGTTTTTCGGGTTTGCACGCGATCTCAGCGGCGTAGTAACTTCAGCGGGGTTTCTCGAGATGCGGAATTAAATTCTCCGTCGTGTGGTATTTAAATCTTGCAGGAATTCTACTTGCAACCTGCAAAAATTTGCATATAAGTGTCATTTTTCAACCCTTTTTCGTAAAATGTTTGTTTTTTCGGGTTTGATCGCTATCTAGGCGGCGTAGTAACTTCATCGGGGCTTCTAGAAATGCGGAATTAAATTCACCGTCGGGTAGTAATTAAATCTTGCCGGAATTCTGCCTGCAAGCCGCGAAAATTTGCATACAAGTATAATGTTTCAACCCTTTTTCGTGAATTGTTCGTTTCTTCGGGTTTGCACGCTCGATTTTATGTCTTTTCAATATTATATAAATTGTATTACACAGGCATACCTGAATGTTTCTTCTTCCACTCTACGCGTGGATTGGTGTTTGTATATAAACAACTTTCTTATCGCTTTGAACCAGTTCCACGCTCCGGTCGTGCGACGAGCATTCGAGCGTTTCAGTTTGTTCTTATTTGCACGCGACTTCTCTCCTTTCTTTCATTTCAATTCTATAAATTGCACTTTAACGTTAATTTTCGACATAAATTCCGACACGTAATGATAATTGACTATTTAGTGTTATGCTTATAATGATTTGTGCGTGAAACGATGGGTTTATATTTGTGCGTTTGTCGGTTAAAATATTGCGTATAATACAAGACACTATCCGACGGGTAAACTTAATACACGTGTTTTTTTCTGTTTCAGTGCTTCCTTTGATTACCCTTTGCCCCGGTAAGTTGTTAAATCTTATTACAGCATTATCACATTGATGTCTTTAGTCGCGTGTAACGACAGTACCGTAATACTCGTAAGTCAAAATTGTCGCTTGCCGTCGACTGCGTTTTCGATCTTGCCTGAGAATGTGATTTTCACTGTTATTCTCAGCTCTTATTGTTCTTTTGCATTCAAAATACTATAATCGTGTTGACGCGTTTAAAAGCGATTTCAATATCTTAACTCAAATCGTGTATCATGCCGTTGGTTGCTTTGCCTTCTTTTCATTTTCCGCAACGAATATCAATGTTGGGAAACTTGTAAAATTTTGTAGTTGTTAATTTTGTTGATTATTTTTTGCGATTTTTTTTAAATGCATTGTCTTATTTTCCTATTTGTAACATCCTGTATATGGGCTTTTCTTGAACAACAAAAATTTATAAAAATTGATCTTTTTGCGTGTTTTGATCGTGGGATTTTATATTAAATGTTTAAATTTTCCTTATTTATTACTCTGTATATTTGTTTCCCCTGATTTCCAGTCAGTACTTGACTACATTTGTTTCTTCCACATGTTTTCTCCTTGTTCGTAGTATTTTATTTTTAAATCTAGTAATTTTCCTTTTGTATCACCCTGTATACTTGTTCTTCATTTATAATATGTCACTGACCAAATTAGTTGTCCGGGTGTTTTCAATTTTGAACTTTATATTTTCTTTCTGTATCACCCAGTATATCACTTTTCCTTAACATACTTGTTAATGTGGGGAAAATTTATTGTTATACTCGTAATGTATTGCTCTTTTTCTAAATCATTGGTTTTCTTTTTGTAACACCCTGTAGATTAGTTTTCCTGTATTTAATTGCTATTTCATAATCATGTACATAGTATGTTGGTGTTTATAATTTGGTACTTATGTGCATGTGTGAAACGCAGGTCGTAAGACTTGCTTCAAGATGGCGGCCTGAAATTTGTATGTATTATGTTATATTATGTTATGTATTTACATTCTGTTATTTTATTTGTTAATAAAGAAATGTAAAAAGAGGTTGTGAGTGGTATTATTCGTGCACCCCTTCTATCATTGCAGGTTCAGGTCAGAACTTGTAAGAACATTTTTAAGTGTCGACTCTCGAGACGACTTAAAACTTAGAAATATTTTACAGTCTTCATAAGGAGTTCTCTCTCAGGGATGATCCCCACTATAAAAAATTGTTAAGGTATCCTGTATGATTCGTGTACTTTCTTCATTTCAGGTACAGGTCAGGAACTGGTAAGAAGTAAGTGTCACCTCTTGAGGTGACTTAAAACTTAGAAATAGTTTTACAAGTCTTATAAGGATTGCCCTTATAAGGAGTTCCTCTCTGGGATGATCCCCACTCATAAAAAATTCGTTGATATGCCTGATACCCGGGGATGAAGCGCAGAGATATCGTGGCTGTAGGGATGGGCCGGAGTAATGGACGGATCGAAGCAGGGCGATCGACTGTGAGCGCTCATGCTTCTGGGGAGATCGACCGTAAACTGTCTTATAACGACACGTGCCAAAAAATTTAAAAATCTCATCCACTCCTCTGTTCTCTTCCTTCTACTCTCTCTCCTCTCTCCTCTTCTCTACTCTGTTCTCTTCCTTCTGTTTTCTACTCTTCTCTGCCAATCCTTCTTCTACTTCTCCCATTTCTCTGTTCTCCGTTTCTTACTTCTCTTTTGCATTGCCTTCACTTGTATTGGAATTTCTCTTATATTTTATTTGAGTTTACATATGCAACCCAAATTACACCTGTTATTTCTATATTTGAGAAAAATGCCTTCCGCACCTGAGATTCGATCCGTGTGTACTAGCATGCCAGCAGGTGCACATATCCACTCGACCACCGAGTGATTTCATCATTGTTATTTGATTCTTTCTATTTATGATTCTACGTTATTCAACTTTTTAAAAACAATAACACAACACAAACAACAGCTATGTACTCGTATTGTACACGCTCGACGCACTTAAGATTTATATGGAATATGATTTAAAACATCAATTCTGCAAACGGCAAAGGGGAAACCAGAAAGAAATATGAAGAAGTATATAATATTACATTATGTTTTATTACCAACATTAAAACCTACATACACTTATTTAAAATCGAAAATCATAGGCAGCTCTTAAATCTCTTGAAAGTAAAACTTGCCTTGTAATACGCACATCTCTAGCATTTCTGCGACGGTAACGGTACAGTCCTAGGCACAAGTGCTTCTAAACTTCTTCAACAGGCATCAACGTTGTTTATTTATACTAATTTAAATACACAACACAAGGTGCAAGCAAACAACTAAAAACACAAACAACTATAATACAATAATAAACATTTACATATAAAAACACTATATTTAAATCACATTTAAATATAGTAATACTAGAAACGGTCAGATAAACATGTTCACAACAATAACAAGATATTGTTCCAACCTGACCTTAGCAAAGACTCACGCGTGTGAATTGTAGACCGATGCATGCGCGAATAGGTTAATTAAAATAAAGAAAGACTGCCCTTTACCGTTCTTTCTCGGCTTCCACGCAGAGCAATGTCCATATTTCAATCCATTGTCCAAATGATATCACAACAAACGCTACAAGACGTTAAAAGCTAAATATTAAAGGTAAACGTGCAACCATATAAATTAAAATATCATAAATCATGCCCGAGACTTTGAGCGCGAATTGCATTTGACACGTTACCTGTAATAAAGATGCAAATATCGTGTAACGGGTTGCATGTCGAAATCCTGCAACAAACAAATACAACCCGTCGGAGAATTTAGATTGCGTGCATATCCGAAAAAATTCAAATATTTTACGGCAAAAAAGGAAATATCGATAAATTACCATTTATGCAAATTTTCGTCGGGTGCATACGAGCCACTTCTACTTAGCACTTTTAGTCGCGTTTTTCGACCTTTTACTGTAGGAAATATAATTATTTTATATTTTTGTCTGATAGAGAATTTCCAATCTTTCATATAATCAACAATTCGTTAGTAGTTATCTTTTAGTTTAAGAGATATGAATTTTTGAAAATCGTCACGAAAAAGTATCAAGACCCCCTCAAGTACTTTTTCTAAGACTTAAAATTCTCATCTCTCAGGGATTTTAATTTTAAATAACAGCTCTTCATCTGATAGAGATTGGCTCGTAGATTAAGACGCTGCGATCAGATCTTAATTATTCTTTTAGTTTACGATATTCGCGACATTGAATAAATGGGCAAAATTGCAAAAATGTCACTTTTAGCACTTTTTAGTCATGTTTTTTCGACCTTTTACTGTAGGAAATATAATTATTTTATATTTTTGCCTTGATAGAGAATCTTCCAATCTTTTCATATAATCAACAATTCGTTAGTAGTAGCTATCTCTTTTTTAGTTTAAGAGATATGAATTTTGAAAATCGTCAAAAGTATCAAGCACCCCTTGGCAATTTTTCTTAAGACTTAAAATTTCATCTCTCAGATTTCCACTTTAAATAGCCTATCTGATAGAGATTGGTCTGTAGATAAGACGCTGCGATCAGATCTTACCATTCCCTTTTAGTTTACGAGATATTCGCGATTGAATAAAATGTGGGCAAAAATTGCAAAATGTCACTTTTAGCACTTTTAGTCATGTTTTTCGACCTTTTACTGTAGGAAATATAATTATTTTTATATTTTTGTCTGATAGAGAATTCTCTCCAATCTTTCATAATCAACAATTCGTTAGTAGCTATCTCTTTTTAGTTTAAGAGATATGAATTTTTGAAAATCGTCGAAAAAAGTATCAAGCACCCTCTCTTTGGGCAATTCTTTTTCTTAAGACTTAAAATTTCATCTCAGATTTCCACTTTAAAATAGCTTCTTATCTGATAGAGATTGGTCTGTAGGATTAAGACGCTGCGATCAGATCTTAATTATCTCTTTTAGTTTACGAGATATTCCGCGATTGAATAAAATGGGCAAAATTCGCAAAATGTCACTTTTTTAAGCACTTTTTAGTCGCGTTTTTCGACCTTACTGCAGGAAATATATAATTATTTTATATTTTTGTTCGATAGAGAATCTTCCAATCTTTCATATAATCAACAAATAATTCGTTAGTAGCTATCTCTTTTAGTTTAAGAGATATGAATTTCTTTTGAAAATCGTCGAAAAAGTATCAAGCACCCCTTGGCAATTTTTCTTAAGATCTCTCTTAAAAATTTCATCTCTCAGATTTCCACCTCTTTAAATAGCCTATCTGATAGAGAGATTGGTCTGTAGATTAAGACGCTGCGATCAGATCTTAATTATCTCTTTAGTTTACGAGATATTCGCGATTGAATAAAATGGGCAAAATTGCAAAATGTCACTCTTTAGCACTTTTAGTCGCGTTTTTCGACCTTTTACTGTAGGAAATATAATTATTTTATATTTTTGTCTGATAGAGAATCTTCCAATCTTTCATAATCAACAATTCGTTAGTAGCTATCTCTTTTAGTTTAAGAGATATGAATTTTGAAAATCGTCGAAAAGTATCGCTAACCCCCGGTACCTTTTTTTCTAAGACTTAAAATTTCATCTCTCAGATTTCCACTTTAAATAGCCTATCTGATAGAGATTGGTCTGTAGATTAAGACGCTGCGATCAGATCTTAATTATCTCTTTTAGTAGCCCTGAACACGAATCACTTCTACCGCTCTCACCCTTTTATGCAAATTTACGCGGGTTGCAGGTCGAATTTTTGCAAAAAACAAACACCACTCGACGGAGAATTTACCTCCGCAATTTCAGCTGCAACGCTAAATTTACTGAACCGCCAGGATCGCGTGCAAACCCAAAAAAAAAACACAAACATTTCACGTAGAAGGGTTGAAAAATTACATTTATATGCAAATTTTCTGGCGTTACAAGTCGAATTTATGCAATAATAAAATACCAGGCCGACGCAGAATTTAATTTCGCATCTCTAGACGCCCCGCTGAAGTTACAACGATGTAATTTGTGTTCATTTGCTAGATCACGTGCGAACCCAAAAAAACACAAACATTTAACAAAAAAGGTTGAAAACTTACACTTGTATGCAAATTTTCGCGTGTTGCAAGTCGAATTCATGCAACAATTAAATACCACCCGACGGAGAATTTAATTCCGCATCCCCAGACGCCCCGCTGAAGTTACTACGACGCCTAGATCGCGTGCAAAGCCGAAAAACACAAATTTCACGAAAAAAGGCAGAAAAATTACACTTCTATGCAAATTTTCGGGAGTTTCAGGTCAAATTCCTGCAACAATTAAATACCCCCCGACGCAGAATTTAATTCCACATCTCTAGACGTCAAGGTGACGTTACGACGCTACCTAGATCGCGTGCAAACCCGAAAAACACAAAACATTTCACGAAAAAGGGTTGAAAAATTTCAATTATATGCGAATTTTCACGGGTTACAGGTCGAATTCATGCAACAATTAAATACCACCCGTCGGAGAATTTAATTCCGCATCTTTAGACGCCAAGGTGAACTTAATTCGCGGCCTAGATCGTGTGGAAACCCGAAAACACACAAACATTTCACGTAAAAGGGCCAATACTAAATTACACCAATATGCACGGCTGCGGCGTCAAACACCCTGCAACAATTAAATACATCTCAACGGGAGAATAAAATTCCGCATTCAGTAAGACGCCACGCTAAATCACTACGCTGCTTGTGACCGCGTGCAAACCAAACCTCAGCTGAAAAACCCAAACATTTCACGTAAAAGGCTTGCTGAAAAATTACAATTTATATGCAAATTTCGGAGACATCTGCAGACGCCATGCTAAAATTACTACGCTGCCTAGACCGCGTGCAAACCCGAAAAAACACAAACATTTTACGAAAAAGGGTTGAAAAATTACACTTATATGCAAATTTTCGGGGGTTACAGGTCGAATTCCTGCAACATATAAATACCACCCGACGCAGAATTTAATTCCGCATCTCTCGACGTCAAGGTGAAGTTACTATGCGGCCTAGATCGCGAGCAAACTCAAAAAAACACA